ACTTGATATATGTGTCTGGGAGGATCGTGAAAGTTTTTAAGGTTTGGACTGGAAAAGTGAAGCTTAGTGAGCTTGAAACTTGGAAAATAATGCTGAAAGAGGTTTAGATGACAGGGGCCTGGCTTGTGAAGCTTCAAGGGGAGCAAAGACTGTACCAGGGCTGTTTGTGTGATATATTTTGGATTAAGAATTTTGGGAAGTGAAACCTTTTGTTTTACTGGGTTAACTGATGCTAGTTAGCTAGGGCTAAAAAAATCAGCTGTGAGTAACTAGAAATCAGCCTCATCAAGGTGAAATCTTATGGGGAGTATTTCCTTGGGGTCAGCACGCAAAAGCTATGGTCCAGGGGTGGCAAGGCTGCACATCAAACGGGCAGAACTTGGCAATGTTAATAGTCTCCCAGGTGGTACTGATGTTGAAGGCATGAAAGTATTGTACAAAAAATCTGAGGCTTTGTACTATGAGAAGTCAGAAGCCATTTGGTGAAGGTGTGACTTCATTATGAAGACCCCCAGGACTGAAGGGGTCATGGACAGAATCTGAGGCTTTGCACCCTGAGAGGCCAGGAGACGCCATTGGGAAGATGCAGCCTCAGTTTCAGTAAAGACCCCAGCATATTGGAGATGCCAGGACTATAGTGTAATCACCAAGGGCAACAGCAGAAGTGTGGTAGAACCAGCCTGAGCCTATGAGATGAGCTCCATGTGCTGTGGACGGCAGAGCAAAAAATGTGGCGCTGCCCAAGCCATTTGGAGCCCAAAAGATTGTGAATGAATCCCAGATGTCCAGCCTTGAGCCATTTTTCTGGACTTCAGTTTTGTTTAAGTGTGCACAATTCTTCCCTTTTGAAATAAGACAGTATTTAACTTGTTTTTGGATTTTAGAGGAGCCCAAAGTTAAAAAAGACTTTTTAAAGAGACTTTGAACTTTCAAAGTGTTTGAATTTTTAAGGGGTCTGGGACTTTTAAGGTTGTACTGTCTTATGTTGTAATATTAATATAAGATCTTGGGGATAGGAAATGAAAAGGTTGTGGTTTAATAGCAATGTCTTTTTGTGTCAAGTTGACAAGGGGTCAATTGTGCTGGGTAGCTTCAGTTGCTAACTTGACACACCTAAGTGGAGGGAACCTCAAATGAGAAATTTCATTCATTAGATTGGCCTGTGATCATGTCTGTGGGATATTTTCTTGATTATTGAGTGATGTGGAGGACCCAGTCCACTGTGGGTGGTGCCATCCCTAGGCAGGTGGTCCTGTATTGTGCAAGAAAGCAGGCTGAGCACAGGCTAGAGGAGCAAGTCAGTAAGCAGCATACCTCCGTGGCCTGTCCTTCAGCTCCTATCTCTGGGTTCCAGCCCTGAGTTCTTACCTGGTCTGGAACTCATTATGTAGACCAGGCTGGACTTGATCTCAGAGATCCACTTGCCTTTGCCTCCCAAATGCTGGGATTAAAAGCATGTGCCACCACACCCAGCTTTAGTCAGTGTTTTTACCAAGCAATTGAAAGCAAACTACGATAAACTGTCCTTCATATTTAGTATTTTCCATTTTTGTTTTTTAGTTTTAGCCACTCTAATTAGTGTTGTAATGCTACCTTATGGTTTTAACTGGCATTTACCTGGTGAATAGTTTTCCACACTTTTACTAGCCATTTGTATAACTCTTGTCGCTGTGATCAAATACCTAAAGAGAAACAGCATGAGGGTTTGTTTGCATTGTGGTTTCAGGGTACACCTTCTCTAGCAGGGGAAGTCATGGCAGCAGGAGCTTGAGACAGCTGCTGGTATTGTGTCCACAGTCAGGAAGCTGAGAAGGATGAATGCTGCTGATCAGCTCCATTTCTCCTCCTTACCTCTTTATTCAGAGACCCAGCCCATGGAGTGCACCGCCCTCATTCAGAATGAGTCTTCCATCCTCAATTTCACCGCTTTGGAAATACTTCACAGACAAACCTTCAGATGAGATGTCTAAATCCAGTCCAATTGACCGTGAAGATCAACCATCATACCATTTGAATATCCTTTTATGAAATACTTGTTCAATTTTCTTTCCCATTTTTTTCTACTAGGTTGTCTATCATTATCAAATTGAGTGACAGAAGTTTACATAATACAAATACGAGCTTTTTGTCAAGTGTATGAACTACAAGCATTCTTCCATTTGTTTTCTCTCTTTTATTGGAAACTTCGGCAACAAAAGTTCTTAATGCTCTTGAGGTTATACACTTTTTCTGTCAGTAAGTGTTGTTTTATTTCCAGTGCTGTTTAATTTTTTTTTCCTGGTTCCTCGTTCCTGGTTTTATTTTTTAACACATTTTTATTGAATGTTTGTGGATTTACATCCTAGTCATAGTTAGCGCCCCCTGCCCATTTCTCTATCTCCATTTCTTCATAGCCCACCCACAGGACTTCTGTCACATATGTTAAGGCCTACTGAGACAAGTTTGTGTACCCTCATGTCCCTCGGTGAGTTCATTCACTGGAGCCTGTTTAGCCTGTCTAGTGCTAGTCCTGTAAAGAAGATCCACTCTCCCTCACCCATCAATGATCAGCTGCCAATAGTTCCTCTCCAAAGCTGTGACTCCTGTCCATCTCTCCAGTTCTATGCTGGTTTTTGTCTGAGTTTGCATGGGTCTTGTGTATGCTGTCACCATTGTTGTAAGTTCATATGAGCAAGATCCCAGTAAGCCTCTGTTTCCTTATGGTCATGTACTTTCTCCCCTGGTGTTTACAATCTTTCTACACCCTCTTTTGCAATGGTCCAAGCCCTGGGTGGGTAAAGTTTAATATGGGTGTCCTGTGCAAGGACCCACATTATGCAGATTCTTGTTCTCTACACTTTGGATGTTTGAGGCCTTTTGTGTTCATTACCCTCTGTTGCATGAAGCTTTGCTGATGAGAGCTGAGAGATGCATTAGTATTCTCTTACCCCTTGTTCCACTATGCTCCATAAACCTTAGGTGTAGAAGTTCCACTGCAGATGTGTCACTTAGGATTGGGCATCTCACAGACATTCTGTGTGTGACCAGTTTTGGAACTCTGTAATAGTCTCTGTCTGTTGCAAACAAAGCTTCTTTGATAAGTTGTGACTGGCATACTTGTCTATAAATATAAGGATCCATATTCAGCATATAGTAAGAAATTACATTTGTCTAGGGATGTGACAGACAGGATTTTCTCTAAGATCTATGACCTCTTCAACCATGGCTATATTTACAGTGCCACACATGAGACTTCGCCCATTGAGAAGGCTTTAAGTCCAATTAAGTAGCTGTTGATTACCCCTAAGATAAAAGTGCCATTGCTGGGGCTGGAGAGATGGCTCAGTGGTTAAAACCACTGACTGCTCTTGCAGAGGACCTGAGTTCAATTTCTAGTACCCAAATAGTGGCTAAGAACCATTCTTAACTCCAGTTCCAGGGGGATCCGATGCCCTTGTCTAACCTCCATGGCATTGCACATGGGAGCGTTCACATACATGCAGGCAATACACTCATACACATAAAAGAAATAATAATTTAAAAAAAAAGATTTAAAAAGTGCCACTGCTGTACAAAGTACTACTATGTGCCTCATTTAATCCAAGGAGGGAAGACAACTTGATCCCACACTTAGCACTTCTGAGAGAAAAAAGTGACAGTCACAACCTCATTCCACAGGCATTTGGATCAGGTTAGCTAGCGAGATTTTCCTTCAATCTTGTCAAAAGGTCCCATCAGCGAGCACTTCTTAGAAGCAACCAATATATACAAAGAAAAGATCAAGAGAAATGGAGACCTATAAATTTCTCTAGAATGTAGCTCAATTAGAGCTAGCCAAGCTGCTGTGCATTTGGGAAAGGAGTACAAAGTAGTTTGAGGTGAGTTACCAGTGCCTTAAATGGTTAACCTTTGGCTTGAGGACAGGAGCCATTTCAAATTAGTTACATAGTGTGTGTCTATGCAACAGGAAGGTAGACTAGTGCAAATAGTTTAGCCAATGGTCCATGCATCATTTTGACAAAAATTCAAGTTCATGTAAACTGGATATTTTCAAGTTTAATGTGACTTTTTTTTTTTGGTCTTTTTGAGACAGGGTCTCCTTGTAGCCCCAGCTGTCCTGGAACTCACTATGTAGACCAGGCTGGCCTTGAACTCACAGAGATCCACCTGCCTCTGCCTCCCAAGTGCTGGGATTAAAGGCATGTGCCACCACAACCGGCTTGATGTGACTTTTTATCCCTCAGAAACAAACAGAAGAGGAAGTTTATACATTTCATTTTTCACTGCATAACAACTGTTGCAGATTATACTGGGTGAAAGGTCAAACACAAGTAACTTGGGACTATTATTACTAATTGTTCTTTATATAAATACCCAACACAGCAATGTTTAGTTTATTTTTCAAATACGAATGTTTTTAATGAAATCTGAACAGGCAGCCAGATTTCCATGTAGTAAAAAAACTTCTAGCCTGATGAAAACACTAACTGGGAGTTCAGGCCGCTACTAAACTGCACTGTCTCACCAGATGCACTGCCCTTTAAAGTCGTCCTTGGCTGTGGGCAAATTTCTCCATGGGCCTGTTTGTATCTATGCAGCCTGTTGCAAAGGTGAATCTTGTACCTGGTATGTAACAGCCATTAGTTAATGAGTTCTTACTGTCAAGGCCAGTATCATGTGATCTGTTTATGGTATGTACATGTCTGTTCTTTATCTGCATCAACTTAGGCCAATCCTTGTGTCCAGGTATCATGGCAGCCAAACCTGCTCTGCCCAGGTTGGTGGGGCTTCTCCCCTTGCCTTTCCAGGGATAACATAGTTCTTAAGAAAGCAGCACATGTCCACCTTGACAAAAGCATGTTAAATGGCATCAGTGCAACTTAACAAATTTATTGTGAGGTATGACATACAGTGACATGCCACCCTTATGTCTATGTGAGCCCCACTAGAAGGGACAGCAACTGGTCATCATTTGCTTTTGCATCTTTCCTTCTTTAAAACTCAGTTTTTCCAGCACCCAGACTGGGATGGACCAGGGACACGTTAATGAACAGATTCTAGGAACAACCATTACACAGGAAAGGAGAATTAAGAGAAAAAAGTGAAAGCACAAACTTCCAGCATGTGGGACAAGTATACCCAGCCAGACTCCACTATGGACTGTGAAAGGATTACAGAGCCAATTGAAGGCTCAGGCCTTCTTGAGGACAGGAGCCATTTTAATTACATAGTGTGTGCTATGTTTAATGGGTAGGAGGAACAATGTAAGAGAATATTTAGCTGAGAACCCAGGCTTTGTCTTTCTCTAGTACCTGTCATATAAGCTTGATCTACTGATTAACGACTTCCTGATTTAAATGATATGGTATCTAAAAGCCCAAGGAGTTCCTGTGTATTGAGCAGACTATATTCTATAGCCACTGAAATGTATGATAAAGACACCATATATCCAAACACGGACAAGCTTAATGTATACTTACTAGAATGTAGTAAGTAAAAGATACCAAATGCACAAAAATAGTAATAGTAGGATTATTTGTAAATTTTTCTTCTAAGGTTTAATGAAAAGTTAAAAAAAATCCTAGAAATTTGGAATGTCAGATAATTGCTTGTATACTATTTTACAAAATGCTCATTTAAGCCTTGACAGGCTCAGGAATTAATTTGAACCAAGATCTACAGAGGAAAAAACCCAAATCCACACCTAATTCCAAGTACAGTTTCAGTTAATATATCTGCTAGTTGCATGTCAGCATGTGACTTACTAGAGGATCCTGGATAGATCCCTGAGGCTACAGGAAACAATGATGTTTTCTGACAATGCCAAACCTGGAACCACCTGAGGGCATTAGAACCAATGACATCTACACTCTAACTCATCACAGTTTAAAGTTTTAAGATTCTCAGGTGATTTATACAAATTTGGGAAATAGTAACAATTTTCTATACTAATAAGTAGCATAAGATACTACTTAACACTTTCAAGAGAAAATTTCAAATGGAGGTTAAGTATACTTTCAGTAAGAAACCAACAACTTTATAAAAGACTAAGGTGATAAATCATGAAATACCAAAGTTTAAAAAACATAGTTTTAGTTTTATTTCAGCAACGTTTGGTTATCCAGGAGCAGTGAAAAGTTTGGCTACCTGGTAATAACCTTTCTTAGTTCTATCTACTACTTTGTAAGCTTGACCTTGTGATTCACATGCCTCAGATCTACTGTCTTGTCTGTGCCTTAAGGAGAAAAGGTATCAAATTCATTACAAAAAGTGTCTGTCACCTATGTCAGACACTACATTATCCCAGTCACCAGGAAACATTTGCCCTTTAGGGGCAATTAGGGTAATGCCCTACTCCTCACTGTCCTCCCTCAACTTCATTTCCCGTAAGAAATGAATGGAAACATTCAAACCATCAAAAATAAGACAAATTATTTTAAGGTATTAAAAAAAAAATCTCGACATGAGGGAACAATATGAGCATTAGGCCTGCAGAGCACAGAACTGCTGGAAGACGGCCAGGATGTGAGGGTCCAACTCGGCAGTGAAGAGCAGGTTCTCCAGGGTCACCATGTACTGCTGGATTATCTGGTGATGCTGTAGACACAGTAAACAGTTTTGGAGTCAGGAAAACGCACACACCCAAGCTTGTAGACCATTTCCCTCAGCAGCCCACCCACACTGAGGAATGAAAACAAGCAGGGAAAAGCAGTCATGCTGACAAACACTGGATTCCTGAAATGCCCCAACATTAAGAAACTGTAAGGAAATGGGAAAAGGGATGCTTAACAGTTTAAAACCAAAACCAAATAGTTCTTACAGCTTTCATCAAATGCAATTCATGATGCAAGACATGACAGGAGCTGCGGCTTGCAGCCGTACTACAGACCAGGTTCAGCAGGTGTCCCAATAACCAGACAGAAACCCAGACAGGCTCCAAACATAGGGAGCCAAAGCTTCAGAAGTGAGAGCACCTCGTCTCAGATTGAAATACACTCAGAGATGCCCATAGGACTGGGGCTCTCAATAAGCTTTTGAACTGGCAATAACTAAATATATCTAGGGAGAATTACTATTTGGATGCCTAAAGAATTATTATTATCAAGGGCAGGCCTGGTCTACATAGCAAGTTCCAGGCCAGCTAGAGCTACAGGGAAACCCTGTCTCAAAAAAAGACAAAAAAAAAAAAAAAAAAAAAAAAAAACGAATCGAACTTTTATTGCAGGGAATTAAGTGTCTGAAGAAGAAAAATCAATGTGAGCTCCCTGTACATCATTAAATTCAGCTGAAAGGAGGAGTTGGCGCTTGGTTTTTAGAAACCTCAGAAAGCTTACCTTGCTTCTTCAGGCACTGTTATCATGTGAACATGAGATTTTTTAAGGACTTTTATAATCCAATTACTGTTTTCTTACATTTTAGATTACAGCTATCCTGGGCTCTCTAGCATAGAAAACGGCAACCCAGGACACTCTGAGAATGCCTGTTCTGGCCTCCCTCTAGTGTAGGGGCTGAGATCTCAGCACACTGCTTAAGTGTGCCTGACCTGGCCTCCCTCTGGCATGGAGCTGAGAACTCAGTAGACTGCCTGAGAGCGCCTGGATCTGGCCTCCACGTGGTACAGATGGAATCCCACTGAAATGGGCCAATAGCCCATGGAAAACTGACAATGCAGAGACCTGAAACTTCAGTGCCTTGTCACAACAGGAGGAAGACCATCCCACACCTACCACCCCTCCAAGGCTCAGGGACTTTTGCATAAAGAGGTTGGCAGAAAGAATTTAAGAGCTGGAGGAAGGGGTGGAGTGTTAACTGGAAGTGTTTTCGGATCACTATGCCAGCAAGCTATAGTCACACCTCATCAAGGAGTCCAGGGGGGAGTCAGTTACCCCTCCCATCCAATCAGTCGACCGGAGCTGCATGTGGGGGAGGGGCTAAAAATATATATGCTGAGAATGCCAGGAGGCACCTCTCTCACCATTTTGTGCGGCTGTCAGGAAGTCACAGGATCTATATTTGAGTGTGGACTTTCCACTGTAGCCATAAATGAGGGGGTGCCCACTCTTCTGAAAATAAACCCTCACCCTATGCTCCGTTAGCAAGCCCAATAAACTACGATTAAAAAAAAAAAGCCAGAGGTAACGGAAACCATTATTCTACCAAAGTGGACCCCATGTTGGTAAATCCTTTGGTCTATTTTTTTTTCCCCTCTGGTCTTTTTGGGACAGGGTCTCCCTGTGACTCCAGTTGGCCTGGAGCTTGCTGGGTGGACTGGGCCAGACTTGAGCTCATAGAGATCTGCTGGGCTCTGCCTCCCAAGTGCTGGGATTGAAGACGTGTATCACCACATCCAGCTTTGGTCTTTTCTACCCTTAAACTTCATTGCATACATATTTTTATGTAACCTGATTCAAGTTTTTTTTCTGGAAAAATGTGTTAAAAATTGCCTCTTTTTGGAATAAAAGTATTCTTAAAAAAAGAAAATGGCAACCCAGAGTCTGAGTGATATAAAACCAATTTAAGTCTAAATCTTCTGATGAACAGTAGCGGCAGTAATGAACATGAACTACAGGGTGTACAGGGCCTACATAACCTCCTGCTAAATTTCATGAGGATTTTTTGGCAGTGGTAAGGAAAAAAACTCAGGGCCTCATGCATGCCAGACAAGGGTTTTAACACTGAGCTATAGTGCTAGACTGCTAAAGACTTTTTAAAATGGAAAACCTCTGTGGCTGAAAACTGGCTAAAAGCTATCTGCTCAAAGCCCCTCACAAACCTGTAGGAAGATTTGCTGAAGCCTCTCTATACAGTTCTTATACCACGGTGTTAATATACTGGTTCCATCAGTTTCACAGCGTACCAAGTGCTCAGTCAAGATCATGATAAACCGCTGAAAAGGATGGACAAAGTTGAACAGCATTAGAGGGAGGATTTTAACTCCTGAAACAAACTCCTAACCAAGGGTCTTCAAGTCCCACTTGCTCCCCCGACGGTGTGGACGCCTAACTTTCAGGATTCACTGAAGTGCTGCCAATCTAGAAAGGGACTGGCAATGTGAGAGGGCCCATTGCTGTTAGCAACACATAAAGGCCTTTAATGTCAAAATGACTTATCTTTTTCCAGTAATATTTTTTGGCATCTACATCTAAAAAGTGCAGCCATCTAAATCATAAATATGATGGGTGCGTAAATGGTGAGCAAACTGCAGACTCATGGTGGTCTCCAAGTGGTGACATTCCTTTGTAAATTTCTATATTCTTAGTATTTTTGTAAACTAAAAACAGCAATTTTTCAAACTAAAAGAATAGACTGTTTTTACATGTCCCAAACCGACCTACCTGAAATATGACGAGGAACAGGTTCTTCTGCTCGCTCTGGGCAGACTCCACTTTCTCCTGCAGTCTTTCTATCTGCTCCTCAAGGGCCCCATCCTTCCTGTCACTGCTTCGCTCATCATCGTCACTTCGCTGCAAAGGGCACAGGAGCAAAACAACAGCTCAGTGCATAAAATCTATCAAGAAAGGGGAAGGACTTTTTGTTGTGTGGACAAGGTCCCACTGTGGCCATGCTGGCCTTGAACTCATGATCTTCCTGCCTCTGCCTCCCCAGTGCTGGGCTTCACTAATTTTAATTTGAGGCAGGGGTGCTAGGGCTCCAAACCAGGAGCTCAGAGACGCCAAGGAGGTGATTTTATCACTGGGTTATATCCCTAGCCCCAGGGAAGGGTTTTATATTTAAGGGCTTACGTCCTTACAGGGAAAAGCTCTAGCGGCAACCCCATCCTTGCTAGGGTGGGGAAATTGGGTGGCACTGGTCTTGGTAACATCAGTGGGGTGGTGTCACTACCATGGTCCGCTCAATCATTAAACTGTTTTCTATTCTGGTGAATACACCTAAAACCAAGAAACCCTGCAATGGAAGCCAAACCAGAGATGATAAACTAAAGAAAGTAACCTTTGTGGCCAACACTATTCAGGACCACCCCATACAATAAACTATCTGCTCTCTGAACAGTTTTGTGCAACCTGTGACTCAAAAAATAAACTACTATCAAAGCAATGGATCTGGAATATCCTCCAGTTTTGAGCTTAGCTTCTTTTAATAATCAACACATGACTTACTCGTTTATGCTGCCTTGCCAGTTTCTCTTTAGCTTCTTCTAGCTCTTTCTGGATCTTCAGAACATGCTTGTTCATCTTACGAATTGTAGAGTGCAAGATTTCCCAAACAAACAACCTTAAAGTAATATGGCATTTGGTTACTGTATGCCAAGATGTACTTACAGATAAAACATATAATTTTACAGTGCATCATTCTTGAACTCACAGAGATCCATCTGCCTCTGCCTCCTGAGTGCTGGGATTAAAGGTGTGCGCCACCACGCCTGGCACCAGTGCATCATTCTTAAAAGCTGATATAGCTTTCTACCCTGTGGGCAGAATTAGGCTTCCTTCTCCAGCACTAGTTAATTCACAATTATTGTGAATTGTGCAAGCATCTTTTTTCTACCCACTGGACTTAGGTACACTCCCAGAGAGCAATGCTGTGTCCTGTCTTCATCTGTCTCTTAATAAGACACTAAACATTAGAAATAAATACATCTCTCTTCTAGATGATATGCAGTGTTGAACTTTTCTCACCATGGAGCCTTACCTGAGGCTCATTTTACACACTACACGCTTAGCTAATACACATTCAGCAAATTACATTGGGATAACCAAGAAAATTACTAGGTGATAACAGACTGATGAAAAGTAAGATGAACATTTATTATTTTTAATTATTTATCGTGACTTTATTTTTATTTATTTTAAGTGCACCCATGTCATGCAATGCCCATGGAGGACAGAAGAAGGTGTTGGATCCCCTGGAACTGGAGTTATGGACGGTTGTTAGCCATCATGTGGGTGCTGGGATTTGAACCTCTTCTGCAAGAGCAGCCAGTGCTCTTAACCTCTGACCCAACTCTTCAGTCCCAAAAGATGAACATTTATATATCGGCTATGTCATCAAGAATAGTTCAAATAGGAGGATCATCTGTGGGCTCTTTAAATGCCTGCTCTATAAATGGTTTATTTTAAGAAGCAGCTCTGCTGTCCTGTCTGCATGCTAGGCCTCCTACCCTCAAGACACAGCACAGGAGAACTTCTTTCTGTAAATTTGGATTCAGTTGACAATTCAAATGGAAAATAATCAAACAATTTACCCATGATAATGTTAGTAGGCAGGACAAAAGAAGAGCCCTCTAAGTCTTGGTAGGGGTCAGGGAAGACTTATGGAGTTAGGAATACTCGAGTAACTGAATGACCTCAGAATGCTTGGGGCTAAATTCATGGCTTTGACTGTGTAACTGGGTAAATTACTTAAAGCACTCTGGCATTTTCCTATTCTGCAGAGTATAACAACAATGGAACAACTTTTATGGTAAGCAGGAAATGGATCAAGAACACAAAACATTCAGGCTAAGGCTCACCACATATGTGGGTGTTTAGTGTTCTGAATGTCTGAGAATCTGAGAATGGCTTTTTGTTGTCTTCATTTGAGTATGCTAACTTGGCTGCCATAACAGGCTTTAAACACATTTAAATTGATTTATTTTGTGTCTGTGTGTCTTTGTGCTCACACATGTGAAGGTTAGAGGCCAATTAGCAGGAAGTCATTTCTTTCCTTCCACCATCCACTCTAGGGATCCAACCCAGGGATATCAGGTTGTCATGCTTATGGCAAGCACCCTTACCCACTGAGCCATCTCTTTGGCCTATAACAACTTTGATCAATCTGTCACTATAGGATTTAGTCAATTACAGATCAGTGTGCACTGGCAATAACAGATACAGTGGAGAATAGGACTGTGATAGACTTTATTTTCTCTCTATGCACATCATTTGCTTAGTCTTGATTCTGATCAACTGCAAAGCCTGTGAAACTCCAGAAATACAAAATGTTACTAGGTGATAGGAATTATTTTATAAAGTTCATGTTCTCTTAGGATGGGTAAATGTTGTCTCTTCTATGTGCTCCAAATTCTAGTCCAAACCTAGTAAAGTCACGAGACAGCTCCGATGAGAAGATCCAGTTTGCTACAGCAGCACAATCAACAATCTGCGTACGAATCATCTTATCAACCAATACAGCAATCATCTACAATGAGAAAACAAACAGGAGAAGCCTCACTGTTATGTAGGGAAAAAAACCCCAATAATCCTATGAAAATAAAACAGGGAGTCTATAAAATTCAGTTTCAATAGCAATGGAGACAACCGGTTTAACCAGTAGGTCATCCCCTTGCCCCACCCTCCAAATTGGGCTTCATGTAGTTAAGGTTAGCCTTGAACTTCTGATCTTCCTATCACCTCCTAAGTGCTACGATTATAGTCACTCCTGACTTAACCAGTAGGTATTAAGGTTTATTCTGCATTTTGCTTAGCTCTGGTACTCTGTATGAACAGTAACGATTACATGAAAAGAAAAAACTCTGAATGGTAGCGCTTAACCTTAAAAAAACAAAAAACAAAAAACTTTAAGTGATAATACCTATATAAAAAGCATATATAAGCTGGGCGTGGTAGCACACAACTTTAGTCCCACCACTTGGGAGGCAGAAGCAGGTGGATCTTTGTGAGATCTAGGCCAGCCTGGTCTATGTATCAAGTTCCAGGCCAGCTGGGGCTACAGGAAAAACCAACAAAAAGCATATATATGTAATTTCAACTGAAATCCCCTCAAATTAAAAAAAAGAAACACTATCAGAGTCTTAAATGTCTATTAGTATTATTTCAATGCCTTAATACACAGAATGTAAATAATATATCAAGACTTAAGAAATCTAAGTCTTGTTTGTAGAGACACAATTTGCAGACTCTGTCAAGCAGCAATTTTCTTTCTCGGCACCCAACATGTGGGGAGATAACTGTAGCACAAAACCAAATCACAATGCCTTTCAAAGAACGTATTAAGGGCTGTCAAGATGGCTCAGCAGGCAAGGTGGAACCAAGCCCAAGATCTGAGTCCGATCCCCAGGAACCATACGATAGGAGAGAACTAACTCCTGAAAGTTGTCCTCTGACCTTCACACAGGTACTATGGCACATGCCACATCCAATAAATGAAATTAAAAAAAAAAAAAAATCTTTTTGAGACAGGGTCTTCCTGTAGACCCTGTTGGCCTGGAACTCACTATGTAAACCAGTCTGTCCTTCAACTCAAGAGATCTACCTGCCTCTGCTTCCCCAGTGCTGGGATTAAAGGTGTGCAGTTTATTATTCCCATGGTACCAAAAAAGTTTACACATTTAAAAAGCGTTCTCCAAGCAGTATCAAATTTAATTTTGTTATGTGAATCTACATAGCCAGGGCCTTACTATCTTAACTACATAATTTTTACCTGTGGATGGTTCCTCCAAACCTCAAACATAACTCTCAGCACATGCAACTTTCCCTCGTCACTTTCTGCTAGGGTTTTGAAGACTTCATGAAACCTTTTGACAACAGGGAGAAAAACATCACAAATAATTATTCATTAGCTATTTTAATATTTTCAAAGCCTTTTCAATGTTACTCAATTTACAATGTAATAACCAGATGCAAAATAACCAAATATTAAACACTAAGGGCATGGAAAACGTAACTAGGAATTCAGCCTGTAGGGAAGCGGTCACCACGTCTCAGAGAGGGACATTTACATGCTCTTTTTCTTTCGAACTCTTGTCAACCTTAGGGCAGGTTCTTGCTTCTGTTTACTGTCCTTTCAAAAGCTACTGAGAACTTCTGCCTGTATAAGGGGCTGTCCTGAAAACCTAGGTTTTTAGCAATGCCTTGCAAGTAAATAAGCTGTGCGCAGAGGCTGCGAGATGTAATGGAAAGTGTTTTAGTCACCCAACCATACCTCACTCTAATGATCTATTAAGAACTTCATATTTAACAGTTTTAAGCCAAAATTACTATAGCACTGCTGTTCAAACATTTATACTTACTTTGCAAGAGCACTGAAGGAGTGACTGAATGATTTGGCTGCTAAGTGTAGCAGAGTCTGCACAAAGACCTCTATTTTCAATGGGTTAAAACTGAACCCTTCATCTGAAAAATATTTCACAGTAACATTTTAAAAAATGTAAACACTAATTTCCTGATGCTGTACCTGGAATTCTAAGCAGACAGCATGCTCATAGTCAAATGATTTCAGACACTAACATTAATAATCTTTCAATCATAACAACGAAAGTCCACCACTGATTTCAAATATTCAAAATACAAAATTAAGCATAACCATAATTCTTTTTTTTAGGAGATGGTTTTCCTGATTCTTCTACAGAATTCAATGATTTTTTTGTTGTTATTTTGTTCTGAAGCAAGATTTCACTAGTGCTGGCTGGCCTGGAACTTACTGTATGGACCAGGCCTAGAACTGTCATCAGTCCTCTTGCCTCTGCCACCTGAGGGCTGGGATTAACAGACTTGCAACCATGCCTGGCTTATGATCCATTTCTTTAAACAAAATATCATGCATATTTCCTTATTCATATTCTGTCTATGTGATATGAAATATTATCAAAATCAGTAAACACTTAAAACTATGACTTAAGATATCTAACAAACTCTTATCTTGGTCTTGACTTGATCTTCCTAGGTATATACTCCCCAACCAAATGGTTCTCTGTAGACTTGCCATCTACTCTCCTGATTTGGCTTAGAGCAATACATAGATTCACTTACTACAAAGAACTAAATCTTTCATTATGTCTTATCCAGTGACAAGACAAATCTCTCCTTCTGTCCTTATCCAATCACAATTCAGGTAAACTTGTATTTCATTTTGGAAACTTTCCCACTTCTGCTCAGAAAACAAAACAAAGCTAAGATGTTGGCTGAAATGGTACATACTCAGTAAATGTGTCAAGCATTAGTATTACAATAGCTTAAAATTTGGAGAAAATAACCATTATACTAAAAATATCCAACACACTAAGTCTTTCCATTTAGGAATCTGGATAGTGAAAGCAGAAATATTTATTTTTATTTTATCTGTATGAGTGTTTTGCTTGTATGTATGCCTGTGCATCACATGCATACCTGGTGCCTCAGAGGTCAAAAGGAGGAGTAGGATCCCCTGGTACTAGAGTTATAGATGTTGGTAGCCACCATGTGGGTGCTGAGAACAAAACCAGGTCCTCTCCAAGAGCAGTTATGCTTTGAACTGCTGAGCCATCTCTCCAGCCTTGGTTCATATTCTTAATATAAACTGCTTCACAGGATTGTTAGGACTGCTTCTCAGGTAAGGGTGAAAATATGTGATTCTGACCACAGGCAACATACCGCCTTATGAGCAACCAATGGAATTTGAGAAAACTCGTGTTATATCAGAGTTATGCTTATGCTTTTGCTTGATCTGTGCATAGTTCCACTGAAAAAAATAAGTAATTGTCTTACCGTCATCATCATCCTGGTTAGGATTTGGTACATCTTTCAGAATGCTGAAAATTTCAGCATTAGTTGCCTTACTTTTAAAAGCAACAGATAAACAGAGTGCCACAGAATGTCCAGGAAGAGAATCTAGAACAGAATGGAGGGGAAGGTAGATCAAGCGAAAGGCTACCCTTATCAATAGATAACTGAGAAACTGAAGAAAAATCCAAGTTCTTTCTTTTGGAAAGAATAATCTTTAAAGATCAGTATTTAAACCTTGTATGATACTATACATGAAAGTTTCACTTAATAGGTCAATGGTTTTTCACCTAAAACTAATTTTCATTTCAACACTTACAAACACTACTGGGTGGTGATCTTTTTCAGGATAATTCAGCTGTCTTATACTAATCTCCATTAGCCAGGAGCTGTTAAGTTCAAAAGCTTCTCTTTCATTTCTGCCCATAACCCTCTCTTCCTTCATCTGGGACACGAGTACAAATAAGGTGAGGGCTGCTGACCACAGAGAGGCTTTCCGCTCAATCTCTTGTGTTTACATTCTCTGATGCTTATTTGAGGCAACCCTGCATGCTTACTATTGGTTAGGATCTGTTGGGTGCTTATGGTATAAAATTTGTGTTACTGTAAAGGCATCACCAGAGCAATAGGAAATGTACTTTCAGTGCAATATAGTCAAAGAGGTAACCAAAAAGGCAATCTTGACATAAGATTAGAAGGTTGAGACCTGTAATGACTGAAGTCTACTACAGGTCATATAAGGACAGTCATGTAACTAACACCTGCTGTGAACTTTTCCCAGAAAGTAAACAAGACAATCACACAAAAACAAAACAAAAATCCTTTGTCATCAAGCAATTTACACTCTAGATGAAGAGCCAAGACATTAAGCACAAAATGTGAGGCTGACTGATGGTCTGGGATCTGCTCCATGCAACCTCAGCAGCCCGACCTGACACCTAACTCCACAGCAGTCATTAGCATTGCACAACACCTTGCCTTCATTAAATGTAAACATGGCACAGAGCAGAAAAGGACACAGCAAATCTTAGCTCCTCTGAGTCACAGTGCAATCTCAGAGACAATGTAAACAAACCTAGAAGTAGACCGCCATGTGCCCCATTGCTACTAACATCAGACCTGAACCATTATCAGAAGATAACCAATTCAGGCAATCACCATAATAAATACACACTTTCTGTTCCAGTACATTCTAGGTATACATTTATCTTACTATTCCTCGCACCATATTTAAAATGTCATGGAGAAAATACTGTAAAAAGTATAAATTAGAAAAAAGTTATGCTAGTAGTAACTAATTAGATTAACAACAAAATCCTTAATATGCAGTCGCTGGTGACAGGCTACTTTCCAAATAGAGGAAATATAGCCTCAGTCAATTTCTCCACCTACAAATAACTGACTTCAGAGCATACTTGCATATTTTTTTTTTAAGATTTTTTTTTTTACTTACTGCTACTTTCATCTCCATACTTGTAAATGCAGGCTGGGTTTGCAGGACATAGAGCTGAGAAGGTAGGAGGAACAATATCTAATATATGCTGGTGGTAAGACAACCTATAACACAAATAAGAACCTCAGAAAATATCATCAGTTTTATTCTTGATAACACCCAACTTGCCTGGAAAGCTATAATCTCTGGTATCCCCAACTCATCTGACAACCAAGGATCAAATGGGGCAAAAAAAAGGCGTAAACCCTTTGAAAAACAGCATAAGTAAACTCAGGCCTGACTGCATTGGGGTGTGGGGTAAGAGGCCCACAAGTCTGGGGTAAAAGATGTGAAGTGACAGTGGGGTTGGGTGGAGGAGGTAAAGTTAGTATGGTTGGGACACTGGTTGTGTTGCACCAAAGAAATACAAACGGGATAATTGGAGCCAAGTTTCTTACTGCCTGAGAAAGTACTTATACTTCATAGTATAGAGGAAGGCAAGAAACCACGTGGGCTTGGATGGGAAGAAAGGGATATACCTCTACCCAGAGTGAGAGAGAGAATTTGTGTCCTCCAAAGGCCTGGAGCCAATAACACCCTTCCCCCCGGAAAATACTCATTTAGAGCCCAGATCATAGTTCCCCAAATATTTATCTTTAAATAGATGAATCCAAGGAAGGTTGTGGAAATACATTTTGAGCTTAGAAAAGCTTACACCAGAAAATAGGAAAGGCTCATGAAAGATGGAAGACATGGGAAAAAAACCAAAAACCTTTATTTGCTTAATTTAGAATCCAGATGCTATGGTTGCCGAATTTTAGGCCTAAATCCTGATTAAAAAGTGAGATGGAGCTGGGTGTGGTGCCTGCCTTTAATCCCAGCACTTGGCAGGCAGAGGCAGGCAGATCTCTGAGTTCAAGGCCAGCTTGGTCTACACAGCAAGTTCTAGGTCTGCTGGGGCTACAGGGAGGCCCTGTCTCAAAACCCCCCCAAAACCAAACCAAAACAAAAAACCCAAAAACACCAAAAATAAAAAACAAAACAAAAAAAAGGGCAAGATGGTCCTAGCTCCAAATTCAAGTTTACCTCTCACGACTCAAAGAAGCTTCTTTTTGCAACAGAGACTATTATAAAGTTCCAAACTGGTCAAAATAGAATGTGATTGTACTGTGCCCAGCCCTAAGTGAAAGATCTACAATGCAACCTCTACACCTAAGGCACAGGGAACATAGAGGAAGAGGGGGTTAGAAAGATTGTAAGAGCCAGAGGGACAAGACATCTGCTGCTAGTTAATGCAGTTGACAAGCCAAAGTGGATGGGGGAAATTTTATGAGGTCCTACCTCAAAACTACAGGCAATCAATGGATGCTGAGGGAGGGAAAGTTTTCTCCAGGGACCAGCTCCCTTAGGCTATTAAATCCCAAGTGGGCAGCCCTAAACATAGGTACACACTAGCACCATTAAGTGGACTCAGTGTACACACACACATATGTATGTTATACATATATATGTATATTTACAAATGTATGTATATTCATGTTAACAATAATAAAGAGGACAAGAAATTGAGAGGAAGTGCACATGGGAGAAGTTGGAAGGGGTAGAAAAAAATGCAAACATAATATTCATGCATAAAATTCTCAAAAAAAGTGAGAAGATAGGCAAGAACCTAGATTTAGAAACGATATTGTGAAGCTGGGTATGATGGTGGACACCTTCAATCCCAGCACTTGGCAGAGGTGGGTGGATCTCTGTGAGATAGAAACCAGGATGGTTTACATAGTGAGTTCCAGGTCAGCTAGGGTTAATGCAAAGGAGAAAGAAATTATGTGAGCGAACCTAGGGGAGCTAAATGAAGGAGAAAACACAAAGACCTTACCTCATACATTTTTCTAGAACTTCTCTTACAAACTTTGGCTTGGGACTTTCAGGATCTTGAGTAAGACAATCTGACCTAAAGAGGAAACGTAGTTATATTAAGGTCTTACACGTAATCTGCATTACCCAACTTGCTGTAGTTCCTACCTATTATTTCATCTATATACAGTAACAAAGTATCAATGAAATGAATACTTCAGACATCATTCTTTTAAGATAATTCTAAATTATTTTTCCCTTTTCTGGATGTGGTGGCACATACCTTTAAACCCAGCAGAGGCAGGCAGATCTCTGTTTGAGGCCAGCCTGGTCTACACTGCAAGTTCCAGGCTAGCAAGGGCTACAAAGTGAGACCTTGTCTCTAAATAAATAAATCAGCAAACAGAAATCAAGGTCCCTGCGTGCATCTGTGCATGGGGGCCAAAGGACAGCTTTAGGTGTCCTTCTGGCAGCCACCCACCTTGTTTGAGATAGGTTTTCTTACTGGCCTAGAACTAGTTCATTAGGCTAGACCGGTTGGCTAGTGGGCTCCAGATCTGCCAGGAGCCTCAGTGCTGGGATTAAAAGTGCATGACTCCATGCCTGCCTTTTTCATGTGAGTTCTGGGGATCAAAGTCTTCATGTTTGCACAGCAAGCACTTTACAGACTGAGCTATCTCCATAGTCTGGATACTTAAGTTTTTTGATTATAGAAAGAGGAAGAATAAAACATTACACTTACCAATCTTCCCAGCTCCAACGGAACTGAAAGTTACTTAGATGATGAGAAAACCAATTAATAAACCTACATTGGAGAGAGGGGCACGGAAGAAAAGGGAGAATAGATTTTAGACCATGAATATATAATAATCTTTATTATACAGACAAACCTTATTTTATGATTGACAAGCACACCCATTACCTGTAGCTTTATCTTCTGACATTTCTTTTCTTGTGACTCTTCTGATTCATTTTAAAATTATTATTCTTTTATGTGTATGAGTATACTGTCTGCATGTATGTAAGTGCAGCCAGGGTGTACAATGAACTTGGAGGTCAGAACAGGGTGCCAGATTCCCTGGAACTGGAGTTATGGACAGTTCTTAGCTGCCATGTGGGTGCTGGGAACTGAAGGCAGGTCCTCTGCAAGAGCAGCCAGCACTCTTAACCTCTGAGCCATCTCTTTAGCCCTGCTGACTCTTTTATAGTGCCCTCCCTCAGTTCTCACAACAAGGCTACATTTTCCTCCTCTTAGGTGAGTGGCAGACACAGTTTAGCACTATTTTGTGTGCTATCCTTATATAACTCTCCCAACTAAGAAGGAACATACTATTTTCCTCATGTAACTACTGATGAAATGGAGGCAGTTAAAAGAAATTACAGATAAACATTTACAAATCATTTACAAATGGCAGAGCCAAAGTATAATCTCTTACACACATGATCTTTTAAACATTTTCATTTTTAGCAGGTGTGGGAAGAGGCAGAAGGCAGAAGCAGGTGGATCTCTGTGAGTTCAAGGCCAGCCTGGTCTACGCAGTGAGTTCCAGGCCAGCTGGGGCTACATGCTGTCTCAAAAGAGACTCCACCCCCCCCCAAAAAATGAAAAGAAGATCTTCTTTAAAGGATAAAAACTCATTCAATTTTAGGTATTATAGGGTTTATACTGAGTTCAATATTGTTTAAACTGTATTAATTCAACTGTGAACCTAAAAATTTACAGCCGCTTTTGAAAGAGATGTATCCTTGTTCTGGAATGTGTTACTGAGTATGTTAAAGCTGTAATGAAATGTTCCTTTTAATCATGTGGTTATTAAATTTTTAAAAAAGTTTAAAAAATTAAAAAAAATACTTCTTCAACGCATAAAAATATGCTCCTTATTAATTAGTAGATGTAAAAAACATTACCACTGAAATCTACCTGATGACTTTATATCCATGCTCAAGTGCCAAGGATCTCAGAAAGTAACCGACTGTGACTAGTAATCAGATATATGGAGATTAGAAACGCATGTGCAAACATCTAAGTATTAAATGCATTACAAATGAATTTTTCTGTATGAAACTGTATATTTTAATAATGAAATGGAGAGCTTTCTTAAAGGTTAAAACCTCATTCAGTTTTATGTCTTACAGGGTTTATACTGAGTACAATATTGTATAACTATTAATTCAACTGTAAATTTAAAAATTTACAGTCAATTTTGAAAGAGATGCATCTTAGCTCTAGAAACTGTTACTGAATAAGTCAATGCTGTTGTAATGAAATGCTTCTTCTAATTATGTGGTTATTAAATAACTAATTTTTTAAAAAAAAGAAATTTTATTTTTTAACTTATATGTGTCTGTGTGTGGGTATGTGCATACGGATATGGTGCTCACAGAAGCCAGAAGAGGATCCCCTGGTGCTAGAGTTACAGGTGGTTGCAAGCCACCAGATGTGGGTGCTGGGAACCACACTTAGTTCTCTGAGAGCAGCAAGCACACTTAACCACTAAGCCATCTCTCTGGTCCCACTATGATCTTTTCAAAACAGCCTACACCCATGAAGTCCCCTTTCCCTTACAAATACACTTAGCTGTTGAACTAGAAAGGAAACATCTTAGTGTGTTGCAAATGTCTTAAGAGCACTCAAGATATTTAATGAATGTGGAGGCCACACAATTGTTATTTTATTAGAGTGGAGAGAAAAACCAAAAGGTACTTCTTTAAAACACATCCCTCACAATCTCTAATTTCAATCACTTGAATTTATCAAGGCAATGGCCTAAGACAGTCCTGATAATTTTCAGATACAGATACAAAACATACAGAAATTAGAAAACTATTCAATTCTTCTGATCTGATTTGGGAAATGAACAAAAGAAACAATACCAGCTGAGAAAAATGGTCATACAGGCTTCTCCAAAAGAAAACAGTGAGCATGAAAGTACTGCAGCAGTAACAATCCAATACCGATTTTAGTTTATTGATTAAAAATAAATAGAAAACCTTAAAGCTGTAGGCTTGAAAACACTGCTCTGTAATTACTTTCAAAGCTATTTGCTTTTGTTTATATGTAATAAACACATAGCATTAGGTTATCTTTCAAAATAAATTGCTTCATTTTTTTTTTTTAATTTTTACTTTATTTATCGAGACACGGTCTCCCTGTAGTCCCAGCTGGCCTGGAACTTTCATCTTGATCTCACATAGATCCGCCTGACTCTGACTCTGCCTCCCCTCCCCAGTGCTGGAATTAAAGGTGTAGGCCACCATGCCTAGCAATAAATTTATTTTAAAGAACTTACATATGCAAGTAGAAAGTAGAAAAAAGTAGGCCTAAGCATCACATACAATCAAAGAAAACCACAGCATGGGCAGCATTCCATAGAGACAGACTAGAAAGACTAGTACTGTTATAACAAGTGATTTTAGGAAAGCATCAAAGAATCTGGAAATCTTTAAGTGATCTGAGCAAATTCTTCTATCAAGTATAAAGAACAGAAGGTGCTAACATAACCCTCAGTGCAGAAATAAGCAACTACTGTACCTGTCTACACACGTAGTGCTCATTGTGTCCAGACGCATGTATAGCATTTCAGTTGCCTGTGCAAGCTGTGAATTGGAAGATAAGGAAAACTACTCTCCACTCTCCTTCAAAATAAGCTGTGACAGAGAAAAAAAAGCAAAATACTTCCTTTAAGTCTTTGTAACAAGTAAGAACTTTAAGCACCTTTCAATTCACATAACTGATATCATTTTTTTGGTTCAAGTTTTAAATCCTCAGTGATGTACAATAAACTGGACCCACATCCAGGAACTCAGGATATTTATCACTTCTACAATTTCACCCATGCTCCTCTGCAATTCAAACCCTTCTCTCCTATCTAGACCTCTCCCTAAGCATCCACTACTCTGCTGTCACTAGAGGATTTTTTTTATTTTCTCTTATTTTACATAAATAGTATCATGCTTTATGAATTTTTTTTTATCTTCAACTCAGTATAACTACTTTTTAATTTATTGAAAATGCAGTTACTGCCTTCATTTAAAACATATTCCTCTTTATCCCATCACAGGGAACAAAATTTGTTTATTCATTCATGTATTATTGGACATTTAGATTATTTCTAGTTTGTGACTATTAAAAATTAAATTTCTGGGATGGAGAGGGCTCAACAATTAAGAGCACTGACTGCTCTTGCAGAGGACCCAGACTCGATTCCCAGCACCCACATGGTGGCTACGAACCATCCTTAACTCCAGTTCCAGGGGAATCCGAAGCCCTCTTCTGACCTCCGCTGCATTGCACGACACGGGTGCACTCACATACATGCAGGCAATACACTCAAACACATAAAATAAAAATAATAAATAAAATATTTTAAAAAAATTAAATTTCTGTAAGTATTAGTGCCCAGGTCTCTATCTAAAAATCCGTATCACTGTTCAAGAACAAAAACCACCACTACACAAAACCTTTTCCAAAGAAATGTAGAGATCAACAGCAGCAAACAGTCTCAAAGGAAATCTGAAATGAACTAACTGAAGGTGGAAATCTGGGACATACAAAAAGGGACTGAGATGCCTGGTATCTGTGCTTAGCACTGTACTATAATACAGCATGTGAATCACGAGGAGAGATTAAACTACAGGACTTTCTGATCATTTTATTATCTGAGAAGATCAGAAATTAAAGACTGAAAAGTAGGCATAAAGGTCTGTCTATATTATACATACATTCTTGTGTGTGTGTATGTATAAGGAGGACAAAAATGCAATAAAAACTAAACTTTTCATAATACAAAAGACAAATGGTAAAGAAAAATAAAATGGACATGACAATACGGTCTAGTCAAATGACAGACTGTCAGATTAGATATAAATTCAGTGGTTTAGGAAATGCACAAGAAACGGAATGATACAGAAAGCTACAAGAAAAATTATTTTAAACAACCCCCCAAAACAGACCTTTTAAGACAAAAGCTACTAAATTTATAAGCTAGAATCATTCCAGAATGATAAAGGTTCATTTTACCAAGGATATAATTCTGAACTTACCTGTACCTAAAACTAACTCAAAACAAAGCAAAACAGACCAGAGAAATGAGCAAACCCAGATACAGCAGAAGACTAACACCGCTGCTAGTAATGAAGAGAAGCAGTACCCTCCCAATCAGTTATACATACTGAACTGTTTCCTTATTACAATCAGTAGAACTGATCTAATGAACTTATAGAGGGTCCACAGCCCTCAAACGGCAGAATGTACATTCTCTTCATATTTGTGGCAAAATTATTACTTAAAAAGGCAAGGGAATAGCTGAGCATGGTTTCAAGCCTATGTGAGGCAGGTGGATCATCCTGAATTTGAGGCCATACTGGGTTACATGTAGGATGAGGCCCTATCTCAGAAAACAAAACAAGAGGCAAGGGAATGATCACAACACCAGAATTACTGGAGTGGGCATGGAAGAAGAGGGAGCTGACAGGGAGGACAAAGGGAGCTTTCGGGCCCAGCACTACATTCTATTTCAAACAGGTAAGTGTTAACATTACAAATGTACATTTTGGTCCAAGTCTTATTTGTTTAAATGGTGAGTTTATCATTAAAAAAAAGCAAATGTGAACTATGTTCCTAAAATCCAAAGCTTAAGAACATAAAGACAAATTTGAGAGACAGTTCAAATAATGTAATCCTTTTAAAAAGTCTAGCCAGGCGTGATGGCGCACGCCTTTAATCCCAGCACTCGGGAGGCAGAGGCAGGCAGATGTCTGTGAGTTCAAGGCCAGCCTGGTCTACATAGTGAGTTCTAGGACAGCTGGGGCTGCAGGGAGACCCTGCCTCAAAAAGAAACCCCCCCAAAAGTCTAGCCAAAGGATATGTATTTAAAAACAATGGAAGGATACAACTTGAGGCAGAGAGCCCGGCTGAAGTTTGCACAGCTCGATGAGCAGTGTGGTATACATCACATCAATGTGAGGGGGCGCTGGAAGCTGAAACAATTCTGCGAAGATCACCTACGGAAAAACTCTAAGGTCAGAATGCAATGCAACTGTTTTACAGCTTTGCTTTTCTACCTTAGAAAGACCTAAACATTACAACCTAAACCAAAACTTCCATGGCATCTGCAATGAAAAGCAATTATTTTTTACTCTTAGTAATTATGCTTTTAGAGATCTACAACTGAATATCATAATAGAAGCTCTTTTTTTCTATACATCAAGTAAGAGTATCCAAGATGAATGCTGATATGACCACATTCTTGAGACAGTGTGCAATAATTCCATCTTTGGAGGTACCACAGTTGTCTGAGGGAGGTATACTGAGGGGTCCGGTCCATTGGCACTATGTCTCTGTAGGTAATGAGAACCCTCAGTAGACTGTGAGGATGGAAACAGCTTAGAGTCGCTGTTTTACATTGTTACTCAGAACTGATTCCAGAACTTTTTAGCAATCGGTTTCCCACCCTTGTACCCCAAAGTCTAAAGCCTTAGCATGCATTCTTTCCTTTGAAACCCCATCTCTTGGGCCCCTGTACTTCAGTGTGAACTTCTACATATTTTGCAATTTTAAAAACACGGCTGGCTGGGTGTGGTGGCGCACGCCTTTAATCCCAGCACTTGGGAGGCAGAGGCAGGCAGATCTCTGTGAGTTCGAGGCCAGCCTGGTCTCCATAGTGAATCCAGGACAGTTGGGGCTACAGGGAGACCCTGTCTCAAAAAACAGAACAACAAAAAGACTTAGAGCCATATGCACATGTCCAGCAACTCAGAAAGCTAAGGCAGGAGGGTCAGGAGTTTGAGGTCAGGTTGTGTTATATAGTGACACTCAGTCTCAAAAAAAAAAAAAAAAAACGGGGGAGTCAGGGAGAAGGCTCACCTGCCTCTAAGCCTGATGACCTGAGTTCCACATGGTGGAAGGAAAGAACCAACTCTTGCCAAGTTGACCTCTGACTTCTAACAATGTGCAACAGCATGCCACTGCCCTCACTAAATAAGTAAATGAACGCAATAAAAAATATATACCTATAACATATTTTGCATTTCAGGTGGCAAATTCACAGTATAAACATACTCAAGTATTTTTATATACTTTAAAATAAAGTTTTCAAAAAGGTACAGAAACACGGTATAGATAAAATTAAGTTTCAAGTAACACATCATAACTATGCTTTTTCATGAGTACTTTACTATGAAAAAACACTGTACTTAACCCTATGACCTGTACGTCACACAGAAGAAAACACTGCATTTAGATGTAATCTCTTCAAGGTACTACACAATCAGTATTATTTTATACGAACCAAGAGGAGCCCAAACATTTAATTATACTTATTATTTGTGTGTGTGTGTCTGTGTGTACACCACAGTGCCCATGCGGAGGCCAGAAGACAACTATGTAGAGTTGGTTCTCTCCTTCCATCTTTACATGGGTTCAAGGGATGAACTCAGGCTGTCAGGCTCATGCAGCAAGTGCTTGACCTGTTGAGCCATCTCACTGTCAAAAGCATTTCTGTATTTCCTACTCCCAAATTTTCTTTAGTGCATATCCACAGCACTTGGTACTGGGCTACATAAGGCCATTTTCAGACAAGTAAATAATGTACTATCAGTATATCGCCCCCACATCTCTGTTGTCAACTTTCTCCCTCCTCACACCTTCCTGCTCGTCCCCTTTGTTTTGCTCCTACTCTCATGTCAGATACACATATATTGTTTTATGTATCCATACAAAATCTTGGACCCACAAATGAGAGGAAATCTGGTACTTGTTGGCAACTGACTTATTTGCTTAATATGATTATCCTTGGTTGTATGCGTTTTCCTGCAAAGGACCAAACTCTTTTTTGTCTTTTTTGAGACAGGGTCTTCCTGTAGCCCCAGTTGGCCTGGAACTTGCTATGTAGACCAGGCTGGCCTCGAACTCAAGATCTGCCTGCCTCTGCCTCCCAAGTGCTGGGATTAAAGGCGTGAGCTACCACGCCTGGCCAACTTTGCTTTTTATGGCTGAAAAAAATTTCATTCTTTCTCTTTCCACACCCACACACATATGTACACAGACAGACACACATGCACACACACAGATACACTTTATTCTACTTCTGTGAAGAAAGTAGGCACAAATACAGGTATGATTTGCGTTTTTTTATCCATTCCTGTTGCTAACCACCTAGGCCGTTTCAAACTTAGCCACTGTAAATAGGGCTGCAAAAAACACTGATTTCCAATACTTCTGTGATATGTTGACAAGGAGTCCTTTAGGTTAACACTCAGGAGTGGAACAGCTAATTCAATGGTAGGCCTCTCTTAGTTTTCTGAGAACTTCATATCACTTTCCATAGTGCTGAACTGGTTTACATTCCCACTAGCAGTATTTAAGGGTTCCCTTTTGTCTGCATCCTCACCAGCATTTATTTGTTTTCTTGATGACTGCCATTCTGACTAGGGTCATGCAATCTCAATGTAGTTTTGATGACAGTGAAGCTGCATATTTTTCATGTTTATTGGCCATTTGCACTTCATTTTGAGAACCATCTGTTCATTTCATAACCCATTTATTAACTGTATTATCTGATTTATTAGTTTTTCTGAGTTCTTTGTATATTCTAGGTATTAATCCTGTCAGCTGTATAGCCAGTAAAGATTTTCTGATGTTTTGTGGGCTATCTCCTGGTTGTTTTGCTGCATTTTAATTTCGTGAGGTCCCATTTGTCAATTGCTAGGCATTATTTCCTGAGTTATATAAGGAGCTCTATTTAAGAAGCCCTTGCTTATCTCTGTATTTGCAGCGTTTCCTCTACCTTTTCTTCTAACTACTTTAGAGTTGCAGGTCTTATGTTAAGACCTTTGATCCATCTGGAGTTCACTTCTGGGCAAGTGGGAGACAGATCTAGTTCCATTCTTCTATATGCAGATATCCTGTTGAAGAGGCTTTCTTTTATACAACAAATATATTTAGCATCTTTGTCAAAAGCCAGGTGGCTATAGCTGTGCGGGTTTATATCTGACTCTTCTATTTCATTCATTCCCTTATGTGTCTATTCTTGTGCCTGTACCATCCTGTTTTTGTTACTATGGCTCTGTAATATAATTTGAAATTAGGTATAGTTAATACTTTCAGCATTATTCTTTTTCCTCAGGACTGCTTTGGCTATCTAAGATTTTATGTGCTTTCAATATGGATTGTCAGATAATTATTTTATTTCTGTGAAAAATGGTATTAGAATTTTGATGAGAGTTATACTATATTTGTAGACCGTGTTTGGTAGTAGAGCCATTCTCACAATACTGATTCTTTTAATCCATGAGCAGAGGACTTTCCATCTTCTAGAGTCTTCAATTTTTTTTTTCAGCATTTTAAAGTTTTCACCTCACTAGCCTTTTACTGTGTTGGTTAGGCTTCTTCAAAGGCTTTTTATTTTTGAGGTCAACTGTGATGAGGCTGTTTAATCTCAATCTGTTATTGGTAGGAAAGCAATCAATTTTTGCATGTTAACTTTGTATCTTGATACTCTGCTGAATGTGTTATCAGATCTAAGAGTTTTCTAGTGGAACCTTTTGGGTCTTTTATGTAGAAAAATCACACCATCTACAAAAAAAGGCTACTTTGACTTCTTTTCTTAGCCGTATCCCTTTTATTTCCTTGCCTTACTGCTCTAGCAAAGACATCAAGCATTACATTGAATGTGAGTGGAAGATGCAGATACTCTTGCCTTGTTCCCAATTTTAATGGAAATGCTGAGTACTGAGTATGATGCTGGTCATAGACGACCTCTATTATGTTGAACTATGTCCTTCTAGTCCTAGTCTCTTCAGGGCTTTTATCATGAAGGAATGTGGAATTCTGCCAAAAGCCTTTTCTGGAACTATGGAGATGGTCATGTGATTTCTGTACTTGAGTGCACTTATGTGATATGTTACATTTATCAATTTGCATATGGTGAACCATTGCTGAATCTCTGGAAGTGGCCCTTGATTTCTGACAATAAATAAAAATTCATCCCTACCTTGTTTTACAAGAAATGATGTATTAGCTAGGTATGTTTGTAGAAAGGCATGTGTGCTGGATAACTTTAGTGTCAACATGACATACCTGGGTTGAGGGAGCCTCAATTGGGGAATTGCCTCTATTGGACTGGCCTATGGCCATGTCTGAAGGGCATCTTCTTGATGAGTGATGTGGGAGGTTCCAGCCCACTGTGGGTGGTGCCACCCCTGGGCAGGTGGGCCTTTGTTGCATAAGAAAGCAGGCTGAGCAGGGGCCAGAGGAGCAAGCCAGTAAGCAACGTTCCTCCATGGCCTGTGCTCCAGCTCCTGCCTCCAGGTTCCTGCCCTGAGTTCCTACCTTGGGCTCCCTGATGAACTGTGACCTGGGAGATGTAAGACAAATAAACCCTTTCCTCCCCAAGTTGGTATTGGTTAGAGTATTTTGTCACAGCAATGAAGAAACAAACCAGGACAACATGTTATCAGCCTAAAGTAATAGCCACTTACATGTCTGATAAGTAGACATTGTATTGACAGAGCAAAAGGTAACTTACATTATCCATGATAACTATCTATGAAGGCAGACATAAATAACTTTGGCTCTGCGTGTCAACCACCATTTTGCTAATAGAGCATCAGACCAACAGCAATTTCCTTGCTCCTTTGTTAAATGTCAGAGCCTGGTAAGTAACGGGGGGTGGGGTGGGGGGGAGCTAAAAGACCACACTTGAAAAATCCGTAGACCAATCCTGACAATTAGAAATAAGCACAATATGGACTGTATACCTCAACTATGTGGTAGTTCAAGGGGATCTTGTTCTTCCCTGGATAGCTCACCAGCTGTGCAGCACTGTGAAAAGTATAATTTAGATTTAGTAAGTACAGAGAGAGACATAAAAACTCAAAAGCATCAAATGAGGTGAGCTTGAATAAGAAATCTTTCCTGAAATATTCTAGTTCTCAGTTATTTAATTATGACAATATTATTTTGTCTCCCCCAGAAAAAGGAACCTAAGAAATAATATAAAACCAGTATATTTAGATCTACTAACAGCACATTTTAATAGGGTAGTCTATTTGTGAATACTACTTTCTCTTTAACCTTTAAAATCTAAGCCAAAACTTTCCAAGTTTTGTGCAAACTTATTAAAAACACTCTTGATACTTGGGTTTCTAAATGCTAGAAAATAAGGCAAAACCATTAGTATGCTTTTATTTCCATAACATCCAAACTAATACACCCCACCACTCAATTCTACATGCCGTATGGGAAATATCCACACAAAAAGCTTGATATCATATACACTGCTATAAACATCCAACCTCACTACATGACAAGGAACCTTGAGAAAGCAAGCATTTCAGAGACCAGTTTTAGAAAAACGGGGCGATAGAATGACTGCCATATATCTTTTAAAAAATTTAGTGTGTGTGTGCATACCAGAGGTGGATGTTGGGGGTCTTTAACAATGTTTCTTCACCTTAGTTTTAAGGCAAAGCCTCTCATTGAACCTGGGGTTCACTGATTGGCTGTGCTACCTGGCGAGCAAGCCCCAGAGAAGCCCTTGTTTCTGTGGCCCCAGCGCTGGGATTGCAGGTGAGTGTGGTCATACTTGGTTTTTAACATGGGTGCTGGGCATCTGAACTCAGGTTTCATGCTTGCTAGGTACAACCTCATACACACTTTTAAAATTATTTTGCTCTTACAAATCATCAGAAGAGTACCATGGAGAAATTCTTACCAGGTTTTCCTTTCCTTCCAGTAGGACTTTATGATGCAATGAAGATTCTCTTCTATAACAAACCTCTCCACTGAGTGACTCCCTGGCATAACAGGACCCTGAAAATAAAACCAAATGTACTCAGACACTGATCCATAACACATTTCTTTCATTTACTCATTAAATACTTCAGAATCTATTGTGTTTCATTCACTATATTGTGCAATGGGGAATCAAAGTTCAGGATTAAAGTTCTGTATGCCAGCCTGGCATGGTGGTACACATCTTTAATCCCAACACTTGGGAGGCAGAGGCAGGGGATCTCTGTGAGTTCCAGGCCAGCCAGGGTTATATAGTGAGACCCTGTCTCAACAAAACAAAACATTAAAACAGTTTTGTATGCCAGAAAAGTGAAAATCAAAGTATCAGCTTCTACAACACCCAATTCCACACTACCAGTGCCCACTTTACACATCAGTTTTCTAATTCTGAAAAATTGCATTTATCTGTGTATATGCACACACATGTATGTGTGTGGGCACATGTGTGCCATGGCATATATGTGGTTAGAGAACTTGAGAAATGTTTTGTCCCCACCAAAGGTTCAATGGTGATGGAACACAGGTCATTAAGTACAGTGGCAAGGGCCTTTATACATCAACTGTCTCTCCAGCCCCCAATTTCTAAATATGCTAATATTTTTTAAAGATTACTATCAAGGGGCTGGAGAGATGGCTCAGTGGTTAAGAGCACTGTCTGTACCTACAGAAGACCTAGGTTCGATTCCTAGCACCCACATGGCAGCTAACAATCACCCGTAACTCCAGTTCTAGGGGATCCAATGCCCTCTTCTGACCTCCATGGGCATTGCATGATACGGGTACACTTACACACATGTAGGTCATACACACGTACACATTAAAAAAACAATGTGTATATATGATTACTATCAAAATAACAAGAGAACACTGTTTCCATTTAGAAGGTAATACAATTATGGAATGTTTATACTCTGGCAAAGGAAGAATAAGCACACTGTAGAGGTAAAATCCATGAAGTATAATGAGCACAGGAGAAACACATTTTGAGACCAAATTCTAGTTTCCTTTACTAAAAATCATGGATATAAATGGGATTTTTAGTTAGACACACCCAATTAGACTATCAGGTAATTTGACCAGGGTTTTTACTGTGTATGTGATACAGCAAAGCAGGCAAGCAAGTCTACGTGGCATTCTGGAAGACCAGACTCACTGAAAGTGAAAGTAACTACCTAAGAGGAATCAAAACCAAGTGTCAAACTGAGGGTCTGTGTCAGTCTTGATCTAGCTTTTCCCACTCTGCCACATACTGCTCCACCTGTGTTGTTTCTGTGCTGACCCAAGGAGAAGAGGTTGGAAGCTAGACTGAAAGCTGTGCTGCTTTAGAAAGAGGACAACATTTGAAATCTTAACCTTTGTTTTTACTCTCTAAAAACAGCCAGGCATGGTAGCACATGCCTTACTTAAGTCCTAGCACTTGGGAGGCAGAGGCAGCTGCATCGCTGTGAGTTCAAGGCCATCCTGGACTACATAGTGAGTTCCAGGCCATCTGGGGCTACAGGAGACCCTGTCTCAAAAAGACCAGAAAATAAAAACAAAACAAAAAAAAAACCCAACAAAAATTATCTCATGTAGTGTTTCATCCAAAATCACAATTCTCATTTGTACTCAACTCACATATTTTGGCTTGACTGCATTTTGCTTTTTATATAGTTTTGTACACATACCTAGTTAGCTGACAGCTAGCAACGAGAAGACAGAGGCCAGGCATGCTAAGTACCTTATAACATGTTAAGACAGTCCTCCTTCACACAAATGCATACCCTAAAAAGCCCATTTCACTGAGGTTGGTTGGGACAGAGGGAGCAGCAGTTGTGGAACTGTACCCAGTCAAACATCTTTCAGAAACACTCTAGTTATCACTGTGTTTGCTGCCTGACTCTAAGACAGACCTATACATGCTGAGATAGAAAATAGTATGTGGTCAAAGAATTTTAATATCAAGTATTCACATCAACATCACATGCTTTATCATTAAAGAGTATAAGGGTTGCCAACAACTTGTTTTCATACTCAAGAACACTACAAAAATGACTCAAAAATTTGCTTATGTTAATTTGGGGAATTGATGAAAAACCATTAAAATTTTATCTGTATGTGTGTCTGTGTATATGTGTGCACAGAAGTGAGCCAGAAGAGGGTATCAGATCCCCTGGAGATGAAGTTACAAGTAATTGTGGGTGCTACAAACTGAACTTGGGTCCACTGAAAGAGCAAAGTGCTTTAATCATTGAACTCACAGGGAGAATCTCTGTGAGTTCAATGTCAGTCTGGTCTATATAACGAGTACCAGGCCAGCTGACCTTGTCAAAAACAAACAAAAAGCTGAAATGCTCAGCATAGTGGCCCACAAATACTATCTCAGAACTTAGTAAGTACAGTGCTTATTGTACAAGCATGAGGACCCGAGTTAGGATCCCTAGAACTTGAATTAAAAGCTGGATCAGGGGACTGGAGACATGGCTCAGCAGTTACAAACACTTGCTATTCTTTCAAAGGACCCAGATTTGACTCCCAGCACTCATATGGCGGCTACCAACTGTCCATAACTCCAGTTCCAGGAGATCCAACACTCTCTTTCTGGCCTCTGTGGGCACTGAATGCACATGGTGCACTTACATGTAGGCAAAACACTCAATACACATAAGGAAAAAAAGCTGGACCAGGCGGCTTGTGCATATAACTCTGCTGGGGGTTGGGGGTGTACTGGAGACAAGCAGAGCCTATGGGGTTCACTGGTCAGAGGGCTTTCAATAAGCTCCAGGTTCAGTGAGAGACCCTGACTCAAAAAAAAAAAGTAGAGCAACAGAAGACATCTGAGGTCAACCTCTGGCCTCCATACATATCCGCACACAAATATATACATTATCCCCTCTCGCTAAATAGCTAAAAGTAACAAGCATTCATCATGTATGAGACACTGTTTTATACACTTACAAGTAATACTAATTTAATCGTCTCAACATTGAGATACAGTCTATGATATCTTTAAGGATGCTGAGGCATAGGTGATAAGTCACTTATGACCACAGGCAGTACTTATATTCAAATGCCATTCAGTTTGGCTCTCAGACCTACCCTCTTGACTTGTGTACTATGCTGTCTCTCTTATCTATATATGCTAAACTTAAGTTTTTTGGATGAAGTAATGTCATTTACTGAATTAAAGTTAACTTAGTTGCCATCAGTCTTCTTTTTTTTGTGGGAGGGTCTTTTTTGAGACAGGGTCTCCTTGTAGCCCCAGCTGTCCTAGGACTCACTATGTAGGCCAGGTTGGCCTTGAAGTCACAAAGATCCGCCTGCCTCTGCCTCCCAAGTGCTGGGATTAAAGGCGTGCGCCACCATGCCCAGCTTCATCAGTCTTCTTAGATTAAAAAAAGCCTGAAAATTAAAAGGTTATTTCAGAGTCAGGTGAGATGATACAAGCTGTAATCCAAGCACTTAGAAAGCTAAGAGAGTTTGTGAACTTGACGCCAAACCAGTGAGATCCTGTCACCGACAAAAAAGAAAGAAGAAAAACATAAATCCATATCCATCAAGACTAAACCACAAGTATGATTCCAAGCCAGACCCTTCTAGGAACTCTGAATTGCTCACACACCTCTGGATCATCCGTGTAGTCAAACATTCTGAAGATGACCCTCGGCATCGGGTACACTGAGTCTTCAGTGTGAGGCGGAGGTGTAAAAGGAGGCAGATTATGCTGCAGGGCTTCACAGAGGATGCTGTCGAAGGCAAGGTAAGGCCGCAAGATGTGCCGCTCCTGCCACCGGTCCTTCTTCAGTTTCTGGATCTGGGCCCACAGGCAGTCTAGATACTACAGACAAACATTCAGTAATTAATAAATAACACTGACTAGATAATACAAAAATGTCTACCCTCTAAAATACAGGACACAAAAATAAACTAACTTGTTATTCCATATGGTACAAAGGAATAGCATTGTTTTTTATTCTACTTAAAAATTTTAAAACGCTATTTTTTATTTGTTATTTTAAGTGTACAAATATACTGCCTGCTTGTGTGTAAGTGCACCCATGTTGTGCAATGCCTGCAGAAGTCAGTTGGATCCCCTAGAACTGGAGTTACAGATGGTTGTTAGCTGCCATGTGGGTGCTGGGAACTGAACCCAAGTCCTCTGCAAAAGCAGCCAGTTAACCATCTCTCCAGCCCCATACTTAAAACATTTTTAAAAAAAATTGCTGTGTCTGTGTTTCTACATGGGTGTGCAACTACTATGGTCTACATGTGGAGGTCAGAGACAACTTCTGAGAGGTAGCGCTCTCTTAGCACCACGTGGTCCTGGGGCTCTAACTAGGTTGTCAGGCTTAGTGGTTAAGCACCTTTACCTTACAGAGCTATCTTACAGTCTGCCTCCATCCCTTCCTCCCTCTTCCCCTCCCCTCTCCCTCTCTCCCTTTCCCCCTCCCTTCTTTCTATATGTATGCTTTGCCTGACTATATGTCCCACTGTGCCCACAGAGGCCTGAAGAGGCATCTGATCCCCTGGAATTGGAGTTAAGGATGGTTGTCAGCCACCATGTGCATGCTGGGAACTGAACCCAAGTCTTCTACAAGAGCAGCCAGTGCTCTTAACCACTGAGTCATAACTCCAGCAACTTCCACGTTTTTAATTTAATAGCTTGTTTTATAAAGCTTATTTGGAGTTGTTACCTTTGCTATTTTTTAAATTGGGCACCTAAATATAAGTGAGTGAAAGCTGATACCCAAAAATGCAAGGGAATGCTCTGAGTGTATATATATATAATTTTTTTTTTTTTTTTTTTTTTTTTTTTTGGGAACGGGTCTCCCTGTAGCCCCCGCTGGCCGGGAAATCACTTTTTAGACCAGGGGGGCCTCAAACTCAAGAGATCTGCCTGCCTCTGCCTCCCGAGTGCTGGGATTACTGGTGTGCACCACAATGCTTGGCTCTCTGATTACATTTTTAAAGATTATTTTTATTTTATATGTCTAGGTGTATTGCCTACAAGTACATAAATGTACCTGTGTCATGCACTGCCCTTGGCGTTCAGAAGAGGGCATCAGGTCCCCTGGAACTGGAGTTACAGATTGATTGTTAGCTGCCATGTGGGGGCTGGGAACTGAATCTGGGTCCTCTGGAAGAGCAGTCGGTGTTTTTAACCATTAAGCCATTTCTCCAGCCCCTTGATGCCATTTTAACATATATTAAAATACTCTCTGTACGCTTGGGACTCTAAGGAAATGAATTCCTCATAGGAAATATTTGGAAACCTAGGTAAGGCATACAAATGCAGTAGTTTGAGAATTTTAAAAACTACATTTGTATTTATTTATGGATATGCACACATGTGTAAGGATATAAATCTGCCACAGTGCATGTATGGAGGTCAGAGGGCAACTTTCGGGAGTCAATTTGATCCTTCTACCATGTGAGTCCTGGGGATTAAACTCGGTCACCAGGCTGGAGTTGTGTTTATAGCACAAGAGATAGAAACCGATTCACCTCTTCTTGTGGATGTGGTTTATCTGCAGTCCATACTTGTAACATGGGCACATGAGTTTTCTGGCGTCTTCTAAAGATAAAAATGAAAATCTACACTTAGGCTTTCAGAAACAAGAAAAGACATTCAGTGGTTTTCATAATTAATAAAATGCAAATTAAATAAATTTAAATATTTTTACCCAATTAGATCAGCCAAAAGCACTATTTCTGGCAATGAGCTACCTATCACAAGACACAGGTAAATCTGTAGTTGCAAACACTGCTGGTGGTGGGGCTAACTGATACAATCTCGGGAAGACAATAGGACTATGCCTATCAAAACTGTAATTGCTCAGAACCTTCAACCCAACAATGTCCTTTGTAAGAATTCACATCCCCATAAATATATTTGTACATACATATTCAGATATACATACAAAACTATTTCCTGACATATTGTTTATGATCACAAAAGACTGGAAACAAGCTAAATGTTCAGTAATAGCAACTAAAGAAATTATGGCACATAAAAATAGAATACCATGTTCCTGCTAACGAGATGAATTAGGTAAAGTCATACACTTTCTTTTTTTGAAACAGGGTTTCCCTGTAGCCCCAGCTGGCCTGGAACTCACTATGTAGACCAGGCTGACCCTGAACTCACAGAGATCTGCCTGCCTCCGCTCCCAAGTGCCTGGATTAAAGGTGTGTGCCACCATGAGTCATATACTTTCATAAAACAAATTAAAGCTATAGTAAAAAGAAAAAGGAAGAGAAGGCAGTGTGTATATTGGATCACTATCTGTATAAAATCAAGGCTATATATACATGATATACCCATATGCAACACACACACAGAGACATATAAAAGATTCATATCTTTAGATTTCAAGTTTATTTATATCCAGCAATGCAAATATTAATGGTATCCAAAGAAGTACAACAAAATCAATCTGTAAAAACTGAAGGAACAACCAATATTTACAGTGGCATGGGAGGAAGGACCAATGTTGGTAAGGTTTGGCTTAAAATTAACTTATATAAAATAAATGCATGTGCCAGGGCAGTGGTTCTCCCTATATAAAGTACATTAGCAATACAGAGGTCTGAACCACTTTCCCAAACTATAACTCTGGGCAGTGGGGGGGTGGAACATTTTCAGTACCATAGGTAATTCTTATGCGTATTAACACTACAGAGATGATTACAATACAGTGTTTTATGCCTTTTACAAACATTTGAAAACAGTTTTTTTTTTTTTTTTTTTTTTTGGTCTTTTTGAGACAAGGTCTCTCTGTAGCTCCAACTGTCCTGGAACTCACTATGTAGACCAGGCTGGCCTTGAACTCACAGAGATCCGCCTGCCTCTGCCTCCCTAGTGCTGGGATTAAAGGCGTTCACCACCACACCGGGCTTGAAAACAGTTTTAAAAGAAGCTATGCAAGTAAAGTCTTTGCACTAACAAAGTGAGCAAAGATTTGCTTATTTGGAGGTTTTGGTAAGTGAGGACAGTAGGAAAATGAAACTGACCTAGAGAATACCTTCAGGAGCTTTACGGCATTTTAAAAAAAGAACTGAAACACAAATGGGTATTCCTGTTAACAGAGAAAGCAAAAACTACTTATATATAAATGGATATCCTTTATCCAAACAACCAAGAGTACAGTGAACTGTGCTCTTACTTAAGATAGCTTTCAGTAGTAGAAAAGATGCGGTCCATTTCTGCATCTTTCTTTTCATACAACTCCTTTCCAACCCAGGGCAAAGACGACAGAAACGCATACACATACCAATCCCGTCGCACCTGAAGAAGTTTTAAAAAGACTAGTTTAAAATATATACTGGTTGTCCGCACCCTCCCCCCCCAGCCCCCTTCTTTCTTCTTTCCAGTGCTAGGGATCAAACCCAGGCCTTATAGATGCTAGGCAAGCAGTCTACCACCAGTTAGTTCTATCCCCAGTTCCATCTTTTGTTTATTTGTAAACGAAATCCTATGGAAGCTATTTTTTTTTTTTTCTTCGTCTTTTTGAGGCAGGGTCTCCCTGTAGCACCTGCTGGCCTGGAACTCACTATGTAGACCAGACTGGCCTTGAACTTACAGATCCACCTGCCTCTGCCTCCCAAGTGCTGGGATTAAAGGCGTGCGCCACCACGCCCGGCTAGGTATATTAGTTCTAGTCTTATTAGAATAATTGAATTAACATAGAGATGTCAAAAAACCCACCAGTATGCCAGCTGCCTTGTCATTCAGATATTAAGCATTTATGGTGTGGTATCTGTTATCTTTTATTGCTAAAGACTTACAGGGGAAAAAAATCCTGGTACAGTGTTACCTGGACAAGATTAAGCATATGGGGTGGTCTTACCTGAGGCACATCTTCTTCCTGAGTCACACTTATAAAATTCTCAAACATAGCAACCATAGATGGGGCAGCAATCACATGACAATTCACAAGATCAGATAAAAAACGGACCTGTTAGGGCAAACAATTTCTACATTAAAACAAACTGCCCTTCATAAATAATTACAGAATAAGCAACCTTGTAATGCTTGAAAAACCAAAGCCCACAGCCTACATTTGGCCTACTGCCTTTTTCTTGCACAACATGTCAACCAAAAACAGTTTGTCTTTAAATTTTTAATGCTTGGAAAAAAAAAAAACAAAAAAACAACAACAACAACAACAACAAAAACAACCAACCCAAAACCAAAACCCATGAAATTCACATTCCAATGTCCATAAGCACACTTTCAGCGGGAGACAGCCATGGCCATCTGGCTACTGATAAATACCCTAGTTATTTCAACCTATTGTTGAAATAGGTTGGCTTTTCTGTTTGGCTATGAATATAATATTCACTTGAAAAAGAGAAAAAGATTTATTGGGTGTCCTCTGTGTGTCAGGGCTGTTAAACAAGCACTATTAAAGGCACTGTCTTAGAGAAGTCATACTTATTTGGGACAAACACAATCTCAACAAAAATCGATGGCTCCTGTACCGAAGGTAAATTAAAAAGTACCCTTAGGGACCAGTGACAAAGGCAACAGGGAAAAGCATCGTAAGAGACAACAGCCAGGCTAGGTTATAAAAGAGTAAGAAAGCACTCAGTGGAGAACAAGGAAGGCATTCCTGGCAGAGATATTTAAAAATAAGGTGTGCCCAGGGCTTTGTAAATAATGTTAACATAGCTGGAGGGGATACGGATGGAGGAAGAAATCAGATTGGGGCAACCATGAAAGGTCAAGCCTTAAATCTATAGCCTAGTAAGTGTCTAAAGTTTTTTGATTCTGTATTTAGTAAAGAACTTGAACAAATATATGTGTATTTATTGGATTACTACCAATCTATGTATTAATATCAGTAAGACTTAATTCCATCCATTGCAATTCAATATAAATAAGGATCTGCATTGCAGAAGAGGGGGCAGGATGGAGAGGAGTGTAGTAGAAAGCTGTCTTTTGGACAGACATGTCCATTGCACTCATACCTCACAGCAGCTGTGGTTACCCACAAAACCTGCCCAAGACTGGGTTTGTCAACATTCCTTCATGAATGGGGGCAGGACTCATGAAGCCTCACTTCCTTCCTGAGTTACTGGCAGTTAATGGTTGCTAGGAAAGGGGAAGATATTTTCTTCAGTGGTGTAACCACTAGTAAGTTGCCCACGTTATAGCACATAACCTCCAATGTATGTGTATGCAAGCAACCCTAATTAAATTCAGTGGGGGTCTGCCTCTGCCTCTCTCTCTCTCTCTCTCTCTCTCTCTCTCTTTCTCTCTCTCTCTCTCTCTCACACACACACACACACAAAGACACAGAAGTAGAAAGGAGACTGGTTAGGAAGAAGAGATTCAGGGGTAAGAGAAGGTAGTATGGGGACCAGTATGATGAGAATACTTCATATACATATATGAAACTAAAGCAGATAAATAAGTTGTTTAGTATTTATACCTTGCAACCCAATAAACCATTTTGTGTAGCAGGTTTTTAAGACTACCCACTATAGAAAACAGGAAGGAACTGAGGCTTTTAACCAGTAACCAACATTAGCACAGTCAAGTTACAGAAGACCATGTGCTGGATAACTTTAGTGTCAACTTCACACACCTGGGTTGAGGAGCCTCAAGTGAGGAATTGCCTCCATTGGGCCAGCCTGTGGCCATGTCTGTGGGGGAATTTTCTTGATTGTTGAGTGATGTGGGAGGGCCCAGGCCACTGTGGGTGGTGCCACCCCGGTAGGTGGGCCTGTGTTGCCTAAGAAAGGAAGCTGAGCAGGGGTCAGGGAGCAAGCCAGTAAGCAGTGTTCCTCCATGGCCTGTGCTCCAACTCCTGCCTCCAGGTTCCTGCCCTGAGTTCCAACCTTGGGCTCCCTGATGAACTGTGACCTAGGAGATGTAAGCTTAATAAATTCTTTCTTCCCTAAGTTGGTATTAGGAGTATTCTGTTATAGCAATGTAAAAACAAACTAGAACAGACCACTCTCTGGTGCTACTACTGAAGACAGAGTGAAAGGCAGAGAACTTAGAACAAAAACATCAAATAGAGAGCAGTTAAGAATACGACAAAATCATAAATTATGCTAGATTCCATGAAAAAAAAGGAGGAACAGAGAAATTTATGAGCTAGAATTGAGAGGGATTAAAGATGCACAAGACAAAGAAAAGCCAAAAATTAATGTTCAGATTTTTGGATGGGTTGCCTAGTAGATAGTGGTCACTGTGATGAGCTAGGGAGAAGATGGAATTTTGGGACTTGCAGGGAAGGCATCTCGGGGCTCTATTTGGGAAGTAAGTTATAAATTTGGGGACACAATCAAAATAAAGTTGGTTTATGCAGCTATGAGAGTGAATGAGAATGATTCAGAAGAACATGTTAAAAGTAAAAGCAAAGACAGAATCTTTAGGATCACAAACATTTAAGAGACCAAAGATGACCCAGTAAAAAAGACACAGGAATCAAAGGTAGGGGGCAGGTCTTCAAACAGTTGTGCTGCAAGGAGGTAGACTAGCATCAAAAGTAAAATCAAGCCACCTCGCTGAGTGGGAGCTTGAATGCATGAGAATGGCTCCCCAAGAACAGCTGAGGCTGAGTAGGGAACCAAACCTCAGAGCAAGGGATTAATCATCTGTCTGTATCTCTTTCCTCCATTATCATCTCTTTCTTCCATTTCAACACTAATTCATAATGTGTATACTTTTAAAAACTTACCAAATATACAGCTTCATTATAGTTGTTTGCTTTCAATGATTCTTTAAGTTGACGAATCATAGCTTCTACAAATTCTCCACCAAAGTTGTAATTTCTGGCATTCAGCAGTCCAACTAATGTTGTATAAATTGTCAATTTCTCAGGTAACAGACGTGCACTGATTTAAGAACCCACGAGACAACCCCAAAACAAAGGTTTTATATTAAGTTACTGAATTTTACAAAAAACTTTTATCATAAATTAACTTTGGAACAAAATGACTTTTAATTACATTTTGAAAATGATTTCAAAGGCTTATGTTTCATTGTAAAGTTTGCAGATGTTGCCCCATTATTTTTCATTAATCCAAGAGTTAAGAAACAGTTTGCTGGTGAAGTTATCACACCGCAATAAATATAACTAATGCTACACTAGCTTTTCTTCAAATGTGTTTAGTAGAAATGAGTAACAGTTTCACAGAAAATGGTTTCCATGGTAAAGTATCTCAGAAATGCTCCATGAAACAAGATTCTTGAATGCAAAATCATTAAGGGGGCATAGAGCACTCTGAGTTTCAAATTTTAGCTAACCAAGTATCATGAGACCAGAATTCCACTTATAGTTGCTTATAAAGGATAAATAAATTTTAATAAAAAATTAAAATCAGTTTCAACCAAGTTCCTATAAAAACTTTTAACATGGTACTCTAATGTAGTTAAAAAAATGTGGGGTCAGAGAGCTGGTTCAAGGAGTAAAGGCACTTGTCAACAAGCTTGATGATCTGAGTTCTATCCCCAAGACCCACATGGTGGAAGGAGAGAATCACTCTCTGCATATTGTCCTCTGACCTCCACATATGCTGTGACATGTGTGCACCCATACACAAAATAAATAAGTGAAAATGCTTACTCAAAGTATGTGATTTCATTAAAATCATTTGAAAAGTAGAGAAAGGATAAAAAAAAAAAACCTTAAAAAAATAAGAAATCAATGTTTCACAATGAAAGAAGTCTTGAGATAAAGCTCAAAAAGCAAAGCAGGTTAATAACTAATGATAATTCAGTGGAGAATTTTCTTATTGCTCTATTTCCCTAAAGTACTTTGCTAAGTATTAAGACAATCTGGGACCTAAAACAATACTTGTATTGAAAGCAAATGATGTTCCCTAAAGCTTTCTCCAAATAAAATTTTTTTTAAAGGATGCTGCCAATCAATACTACCCTACCCTCAAACAAACATGACTTCCAAAAAGAGTTTTGTCAGCATAACTGCTATATGATTCTTTAACACATATTATCAGAACAGAAGGTACCCTATGGATAACACAATAAAATGATTTTGTTTTCATAGTTTCTTAGTCCAGGGATACACCTTCCTTTATATTGATTGGATTCATTTTAAAAATTGACAACAAAAATTAACTATGAGAGGTTAAAATGAAATCTGAGTTTCACTTTGTATGTACATTTTTTAAAATTAAAAAATGATGGGGCTGGAGAGATGACTCAGTGATTAAGAGCACTAGCTGTTCTTGCAGAGGACCTGGCTTTGAATCCCAGTACCCACATGGCGGCTAACAACCATCCATGTTCATAATTCTAGTTCCACTGGATTCAACCCTCTTCTGTCCTCCTCAGGCACTGCATGACACAGGTGCACTTACACACATGCAGGCATACCATTCATACACATAAAATAGAAGCAAATAAATAAAAATTTAAAAATAAAAAAATGAGCTGAAAGTATTTAAAATTATTTAAACAAACAAACAAGCTAACAATAAGCTAAACTTTACACATGTAAATGTGCAGTCTTTTAAAAAAAATCTCTAAATGAGAGATATACTTCTCTCATCTATATTCTGATTTAAAAAGTTAACTCAAATGATTTTAAAATTCCAAGAAACAAAACGTAAAGAAAACACTGTATTAGTCCTCCTATCAGTTCCCTTAGAAATGTAAGTTTAGCAAAGGGCCAAAGATGAATATTTCATTGCACAAATTCCAGAACAGAAGGAAGCCAATGATCTACATGTAACATAAGCACATCTTTGAACATTTCCAGAAGCATGAGAGTAGATAATACATTATCACCTGGATTCATAAATCTTTTGCATACATACACTGTACAAAGAAGCCTTAAGATCTTGCTCTTGTAGTTAGGAAGATCAGCTTCCAAAACGCCAGCCAAGCCTTCTAGATTGCTCTCCAAAGAGCAGGCACTCTGTGGAAGGCACCACATTAATTACTTGTTCAGAACTCAGCAATCAGTGAATTAAAATCCAAATTTCTAGATGGCCATGAAAACACTAAGGTAACATTAAAACATTAAACATATAAGGCACTATGATACTTATGTGGAGAAAGAAATAAGAACTAATGACAATTCTGGGGCGAATTCTCCTGGTATCAATTCAGGTAGTCACTGTTCTTTAGAAAGATGTTCCATGAAGGCAGTCAATGAAATTTAAAAAATAAGTTATCCAAGCAGAAGCAGCATTACAAATGGGAGGATTCCACAGGCTGTGATCTATCTCTTACTGAGTATCTGACTCAAGTACCCATGTCTGGTTCAGGTCTTTTACTGAAAGGACTATTCCTTAGGTCTGTTTTAATATTCACCTATGAAAATTACTAAATAGTAAAAATTCTCAATTATCTGAATCCTAGGAATTTCAAACTATATTCACTTGGGGATACAGGTGCATAGTAAAATACAAGCTCTGTTTTAAACAAACATCAACCAGTTTTCAATTGCAGAAATTTATCAAAGCACAATCAAGCCACAACCCTAACCACTGGGCTTGGTGCATACCTTTTCTCCCACTTTGCATATTAAAGATTCTAAATGATCTTCTGTTTCATTTGCATCAGAAGTCTTCCTCCGTTTGTGAGGTTGTCCACCTATTTCAGCAACATAAAAAAATTTGCAATGTTACACAATGAATCTGCTCTCACAAAAATTTTATCTTACCATTTTAGCTACTGTTGGTGAGTCTGATTCTTTAGTGACTAAGCCATCTCTCCAGCTCCAGAGTAAACTGTCTTAACTCACCCTCAGTTTCTAAGCTGGATTAAGAGTATAGGAGTCTTAAACTATTTTCTTTTAAAGATTTGTATGTGTGAGTGTATGGATATGTATGTGTGCATCACGTACAGAGGTCAGAAAAGGGCATTAGGTGTTTTCCTCTATCATCTCCTCTAGCACTCTCTACCCATTCCTTCAAAGCAGGGTCCCTTCCTGAACCTGGGACTCACATTTTCTAGGCTTGAGGCCAGAAAGTCACAAAATCCTGTCTCCACCTCCTCTGAGCTCAGGTTACAGGTATGTGTTGGCTACCTGTCTTGTTATGTGGGTCCTGAGATTCAAACTCTAGTCTTCATTGATTGTGTAGTACATGCTCTTAATTGCGGAGCCATTTCTCCAGCCCCAGTCTCTATTCTTTGTTTTTGAGACAGGGTTTCCCTGTAACCCCAGTTGCCCTAGAACTTGCTATGAGGACTGGGCTAGCCTCAAACTGAAATTCACCTGCCTCTACCTCCAAAGTGCTGGGACTAAAAATGTGCACCACCACAACTTTATTCCCACCCTGCCTTTCAAGTCTCTGTTCTTTTTTAAAAAAATATTTTATTTATTTTATGTGTATGAGCGTACTGCCTGCATATATGTGAGTGCACCCATGTCATGCAATGCCACAGGGATCAGAAGAGGGCTTCGGATTCCCCTGGAACTGTAGTTAAGGATGGTTCGTAGCCGCCATGTGGGTGCTGGGAATTGAACCTGAGTCCTCTGCAAGACAGTGCTCTTAACCACTGAGCCATCTCTCCAGTCTCTATTCTTAAGGCCACTATAAACAGTAATTCCAGGAAGCATTATTTCAGAATTTTGCCTGAAGTGTCCACAGAGCCAGATTTGGTTCCCAGCATCCACATACCAGCTCATAATTGACTCTAACTCTAGTTTCTGGGCTCTGATGCCCTCTTCTGGTCTCCTCAGGTAGGAGACCTTCATATCAGACACATACATACAAGCAGACACACACATAAAAATAAAGATTAAGAAAAAGAAAGAAAATCAGGTGTGATGGCACCAGTCTGTAATCCAAGCACTAGGGGAGTGGAGGTAGATCAGAAATTCAAAATCATTCTCAGCTACACAGCAAGTTCAAGGTTAGTCTGGGATACATGATGAGACTTGTTTCAGAAAGAAAACTCCTATTAGGTGTGAATATGAAAAGAAAAAACTCAGGGAAAAGAAAACATGAGATTCCTCATTTGGTTTAACTCTTCAATTAATAGTTTTGGTTCAGGGGAATACAATGAGCATACACAAGGACCTTATTTCTAAGTACATTTACTAAGTCACAATGTCTCTTAAGGGTCCACTACCTGAAGCAGTAACTTGCTTTTATTTCCAGGATTCAGACACTGTAGAAAATCTGCACACTCAACGTAATGTTTATACGATGTTCAGGACATTAAGAGTGTTCTTCTAGAGCAGTGGTTTTCAACTGGGTATGATCCCTACAGACCCTTAGTTTTTAGAACTAGATGAGTATGACTGGCACCTAGCGGGTAGAGGCCAGGGCTTCTAACCCCCTACACGCCCCCACTCAACCACGGCACAGAATATCTCCCAACAACAATTTGGCCTCAAACGCCAACAGTGTCAATGTTGAGAAAGTGTTCCAGAATGCATAAGGCACTGATGGCATTCTTCATTACTTAGAACCAGATGTTAGGGTGGTACAGAGAAGAGATACTGAAAAACTAGCTGAATGAAAGCAGTTTTTTTTTTTAATTGTACCAAACTCTTCTCGTTTTTCTAGCCCATCAACTCTGCTAATACTGTATCCATCTCCATAGCCTTCCTAACTATGTGGTTTACTTGTTCCAGTTTGGAATCATTCTTATTTTAAAACAACCCTCCCTGGTCCTCTTGTAAGATTGACACACGGAGAAAACAATGCTTCAGGGAGAGAAGGTAGGATTTCTAAAGAGAATACAGACACACAGCCACATCTCTGGATTACAAACCCTCTTTATTTTAGCTAGTCTGAAGGCCCAGGTTTATTTGGAGAAAGAGAAGGCAGAAGTAATAACAGGTAAGAGGTACTCTACTCTCACCAGACACCTCAGGGACCATGGAATGCGTTTGGGGGGGTGTATGTGTGGTGTGCTACAGATTACAATCTGAACCAACGGACAGTAACAAGATACTAAATGCAGAAGAACCTGAGTGAGAGCATAGGGAAGCAGAACACAACATCTTCATTAAGAATACTTGGCACTTGCTGCACAAGCATGAAGACCCAAGTTTGATCCTCAGCACCCACATTAAAAAAAAAAAGCTGGCAAAGTCTGGCATGGTGGCATGTACCTTTAATTCCAACACTTGAGAGGTAGAGGCAGGCAGACCTCTGTGAGACTGAGGCCTACACAGAAAGTTCCAGGCCAGCTGGGGGTACAGGGATGCCCTGTCTCAAAACAAACCAACCCAAACCAAACAGCTGGCAAAATGGCACAGACATTCCCAACCCCAATACTGTGGCTGAGGTGGAGACTAGACAGGAGGCTCATTAAAGCTTGCTGGCCAGCCAGTTTATCTGAAACAGGAGTTTTCAGGAGACCCTGTCTCCAGGGAATAAGACAGAGAGCGCTAGAACAGGACATCTGATGGCCTCTTCGTGGTGTACACATACACATTCTTTCTCATTCTCTCCCCCACCTCTCTGTTTGGGGGTCAGGCCTCAGTTGGTAAAGTGCCTACAGCACAAGCATGAGGACCTGAGTTTGATCCCCAGCACCCATGTACAAGCCAGGCTGATGGCCTATGTCTGTAGCCTGGAGGGGTAGGAACCATGGAAACAGGCAGCTCTCTGGAGCTCCTTGGCCAACCAGCCCAGTGGATCCAGAAGTCCAGGTTTTGTCTCCAAAACTAAGCTGGAGCAAGATAAGAGGTAGATACCTAATGTCAATCTCTGGCATCCACATACATGCACCCCCCTCCCCACACACAAATATTCAGGGAATGGGCTGAATGTTTTCATGTACCCTAAAGAATAAAAGAGAAACAGAAGAGAAACATGCCTGTGTAGTTCCACAATCAAGAGATTTTATATCAAAACAGTGCTATGTAGACGCTTTATAATCTATATTGCTATGTCATTCTGATACACTTGGCTAGTATAGGGAAGCAGACTTATTAAAAACCACTCTATAGGACCTTCATATACAAAATAAACTTTACCCTGTAAAGGCTCCTAATGTTAAATGGACACACTGCACTATTTTTATATCCTTATTAGAATGAGATGTGAAATTTGAACCCATAAAGTAGACAACAAAAAATCCAAACACTGTTAAAGAAAAAGTAACAAAACTCAATAAAGAAAAAAAAAAAGGAAATATACTTTGAACCTTCAGGTTTAAAAGAGAAAGTTAAACAGATTAAAAATATCACTTCTGAAGCACAGTGTGCCATCTCTCAGCTTAACAAACCTCTGTACCTCCACTGGTTTACTCTAGTTAAGCTAAAGAAAATTAATCATAGTCAAAAGATAAAGAGCTAACTCTAAGTAGCTTAAATGGAGCTATATGGGGTGTTTGCTTATGATCCTGGGCAATCTAAATTCCTTCTTAACAATAAAACTGTATTTAACACCTATAAGATGCATATTCTTTAGTAACTCAAGAGCTTCAGAGACATTTTAAAGGCATCTAAAAATGAGCTAGATTTAGCACTGGATTCATCATATCCATATACACACTAGTTTCCGTTTAGGATATCCCTTCCTGTGCCTATAAATTGACTACAGGAACTTGATTGATTAGTCTCGTAACCCTGTCTCCATGAATCTTGGATATGCTAGTCTCAACACAGAAATTTTTTTTTCTTTTTGAGACAGGGTCTTCCTGTAGCCCCAGCTGGTCTGGAACTTGCTTTGAGACTAGGCTGGCCTCAATTTCACAGAGATCCACCTGCCTTTGCCTCCTGAGTGCTGGAATTAAAAGCATGTGCCACCAAGCCCAGCTTAAAAAAATACTGCCTTTGTTTTATGCGTATGAGTGTTTTGCCCGCATGTATGTAAGAATGCCACATGCATGTAGTGCCCATGGAATGGTCATTAGCCACCATGTGGGAGCTGGGTCCTCTGCAAGAGCAGCTAGTGCTCTTAACCACTGAGCCGTCTCTCCAGCCCCCATCCTACCTTCTTAAAGAGGTTGCTGAGCTCATTAATACTCAGGCTTCATTTCTCTAATGTAAGCATTTAAGGTTCACAATTTCTCTTTCAGTGCATGGCATAAATCCTGACTTCTCACACTTACTGTGGCAATCTTAATCAACATTCAGGTCTGAGTATATAAATTGACTACAGGAACTTGATGGATTAGTCTCGTAACCCTGTCTCCATGAATCTTGGATATGCTAGTCTCAACACAGAAATTTTTTTTTCTTTTTGAGACAGGGTCTTCCTGTAGCCCCAGCTGGTCTGGAACTTGCTAAGTAGACCACAGGCTGGCCTTGAACTCAGAGATCCACCTGCCTCTGTCTCCCAAGTGCTGGGATTAAAGGCGTGTGCTACCACGCCTGGCACGAAATGTTTTTAAATGGCACTGTAAGAGCCTCATCTAAACACTCTAATCCACAACTTCTATCCCCTTTCTCTATTTTAGCAACACTGCTTCCTTGCTGCTCTGTGAGCATGACAGAAATGCTTAACCTTAAGATTTTCACACTCCTGGTTCCCTTTGTTTGGACCTCTGCTTTCCCGAAAGAGCCATATGGCTTGCTCCCTTACATCAGGCAAATCATCAATCAGATGCCACCTGCAGTGAGGCCTAACCTGACCAGCTTCTCTAGATCCTTTCCCTCACTTTATTCTCCAGTTACCTATAACCATATGATATACTATCCTATACCTGCTTGGTTTTTGCCTTGCTACATTGGAAGGGAGCCTCCAACTTTATACTGTCCACTACTGCACTGCAAGTAATGAGAAGTCTGCTTATCTGTCTTGAAATCCATGGAGCCTCAGACACCAAAATCTGGGGATGCTCAAAATGATGTTATTTGCAAATAATCTGTGTTTATCTCTATACTTTTAAATCACTTTTATATGACTTATTATACAGTACCTAATACAATGCAATAGTTGTTATGCTGTATCATTTAGGGAATAAGAAAAAAGTGAGTACAGGTTCAGTACTGAGGCATTTTCCCCTCATATACTTTGTATCTAGTTGGCCAAATCCAAGGATACAGAGACTGCAGATGCAGAGGGCTGACTATACACAGACAAGCATAAGGAAGGTCAGGGTAGTCAGCACCTGGTTAAGAGCAGATAATAATCCAGAAATGCTCAGATCTATTTAACTCTGATTGTAATAGATCAATAGCTGCCTTTAAAATAGCATTTTATAATATTTAAGCTTCCAATTTTTTAAAAAATTCTAGATACTGGGGCTGGAGAGATGGCTCAGTGGTTAAGGGCTCTGACTGCTCTTGCAGAGGACCCAGATTCCAGTCTCAGCACCCACATGATGGCTAACAACTGCCTATAACTCCAGTTCCAGGAAATTCAATGCCCTTTTCTGACCTTCTCGGGGCATTGCAAGACACAGGCGCAATGACATACATGCAGGCAACACACTCATATACATAAAATAAAAATAAAGTAAGCCGGGCGTGGTGGCACACGCCTTTAATCCCAGCACTCGGGAGGCAGAGGCAGGCAGATCTCTGTAAGTTTAAGGCCAGCCTGGTCTACATAGCGAGTTCCAGGACAGCTGGGGCTACAAAAGACCCTGTCTCAAAAAAGACCAATAAATAAATAAATAAATAAAGTAAAACTTAAATTAGAGATATTTCGCTAAAAAGTATCAAAAGTATTTGATTTCGATCACAAAACCTTAGCTGATTATTAAACTGTACCAAGCAAAAATTTCAATTTGCGTATTATCAGAGCACCTATAAAAGGCCTTTCCACTATAAAACTATTTACCGCAATGAATTTTGCTTAACCAATGCTGAATTTTACATTACTTTGTCCTATTCACTCTAATGTTCCTGTAGCCAGACCCAACTGGGAAAATGATTTAGCTGCCAGCTGAAGTAAAAAAGCCAACTTAAACAAAAAAGTTATGCAACCCTCCTAACAAGCAAAGCAGAAGTGAATTTTCTCTATCTTCACATTCTAATTCTCCAGGCTGCTCTCTGGTGATGTTTCCCCCTCACTTTAGGGATACCCTAGAAATGAAAGAAGAGAAAAGATGTATAAGATGAGCAAAGCAAACGGGAAGAACAAAGATAAAGACAACAAATTCCTAACCCAAGTGACAACTTCAAGCAGATGTGCTGCTCAGTCCAATGCAAAGCAGAGAAAAAAACTATTCTCTGTGTTCTGTGCAAAGGTTGCATCAGAATCCTCCTGGGTTAAAAAGCCAAGCATACCAAAGTGCTTATGCCTGTGTAGTAGAAAACACTAGATCTGCTCTCACTGGGGTATCTGGGCATCGACAGCTGAGAAGGCTGGACTAGGCTATTCTCTAGAGCCACCCCTAGCAGAAAGCTGGTGTTTCACTATTAAAATTTAAATGGATATGATTCTGCTCTCATCCTTCATTGCCTTAACATTCCAAGGGAGAAAACTAATCGAATTAAACTTTTGTCTTTTCTTTTTTTAAATATTATTTTTATTTTATGTATACGCGTGTAGTGCCTGCACGTAGGTAAGTGCACCCGTGTAGTAAAATGCCGAGGAGGACAGAAGAGGCTGTTGGATCCCCTGGAACTGGAGTTACAGACAGCTGTTAACTGCCATGTGGGTGCTGGGATTTGAACCCGGGTCTTCTGCAAGAACAGCCAGTGTTCTTAACCGCTGAGCCATCTCTCCAGCCCCCGTCTTGTTTTTTCTTATGTTGGCATTTACCAGTATTTATCACCTCTGAGACATTTAACAGTTGATAAAATAAACACCATCATGAGCTATTGGTGAGTGTATTATCTCAGCTGACCCTCACAGAAACCAAAAATGGTAAATATTATTCCATATGACATACTACCGTTTAAAGTCATACAACCCGGGCAAGATCACAAAGTTAACAACAGATGTCTAGCTTTGAAACTAAACCCTTTGGTTCTAAACTCTTGCCTTCACTACTTTGACAATATACACTCGTCACGGTGCCATACACTAAAAAGATTAACAGTTTAAGTTGCATCCATATGTGGATGCTTGGTTTTTAAGATGAGGGCTCCATCAGCAGAGCTATCGAAACAGACATGAGAATTGCTGGTCTTCTCGGGTTAGTTTTGCACAGGGGAATATTAAGGCCAATCTAAGGCAACAACTTGCCTCTGTACAATAGCGCCCTCTTGGGCATGGGGGTATGAGACAGAATTCTTTCCTTAAAGCTTGAAAAGGGGAAATCAACAGACTGGAAGAAGTAGGATGCAGATCTCAACGCAAGGCTTTGTTCCTTTAGTATACCGTCTTCCTAGAGCTCTTTCCAGGTGCACTTCGGAGAGTGCACGAAAACCCTGGACCATTGGCTCTCCATCACTAAGTGACCCTAAGAGGTGGCAGCACAGTCACGGCTGTGCCTCCCAGCTCGGCAGTGATGGGCCGATGGAAGCGTCCTTGGAGACCAGATAGGGTCTGTCCATCGGGTTCACCAGGCCTCCATTCCTTACGACTAAAGGAGCTGGGGGAGCGGGGAGGCCGTTGCTTTCCAGAGGTCGCCGCTTTCCAGAAGCCTCCGGGCACACCCGGGCCGCGCCAGCCCCCTTCCCCCAGGGCTCCCGGAACCCTCCTGGGAAGAAAGCGCTTCCCATCCCTTCCCTAGGGACCGGAGGAAAACCAGCCTCGCCTCCAGCCCGTGCGCGGTCCCGGACAGGCCAAACCACTCACCGTCGTTCTCATAGCTGTGCCGCCTCCGTGACATGTTGCCCGCGGGTGCGCAGCCCAGCCAAGCTGCGAGTTGCCAGGAACACCGGAACTGTCGGGCTCCCGGCCGGCCGGTGCGCAGTCAACCCCGAGCCGCGCGGATAGGCCTACGAGCGGGCTCACTCTCTCACCGCACCTCCCGGAAGCGCACGCGCAGAGGTGCCGAGTGGGCTCCACGGGTTCGGCAGTGGAGGGCCGGCTTGCGCAGGTCCGTGCGCAGCTGCCTTCTCCTTCCACCCTCCGCCGTCCGCTCTGGGGCCTCCCAGGGCCACGTAAAGGTCCGCGGCTACAGTAGCCACAGCCCGAGGGCCTCGAGCCAGACCGGAGGACGCACACTCTGCGGGCCAGGAAGGTCCCGCCGCAGATTTGCACTAGTCCGCGGCGCCTTCCCGGCGGCCCCTGCGACGAGGGCCGCGGAGAGACTTCCGGGGCAAGGTGACGTCCCGGCGACTTCCTGCGCATGCGCGCGCCGGTAGAGAGGGCGTGAGCTCGAGAGCTGGGAACAGAGAGCAACACCGGTCTGAGGTAGGCTAGTGAATAAGACATCCGAGAGGATTAGGACCGCGGGGTAAGGGCTCTTCTCTCTCCCTCCTAGCCTCGGCTACTTCGGGAGAGCTGGGCGGACAGAGTGGCCAGGCCCGGTGGTGCGCTGGGGTTGGGCGGGAGGGAAGCCAGGCTCGCCCAGATGCAGGCCTGCTCGCGAGTCTTCTCTCCCGGCTCTTTTAGTGATCTGGTTCCTTTGGTTCTTCTGTACCTCTGCACGTGTACAGTATACGCCTCCTACCCTGATGTCTTTAATGAGCACCAGAGTGCCTTGTCCATGGTCTGGCTGAAAGTTTTCAGTCTTATCTATTTCAGAAAATGGCCATTTCTGTCGTTTGCTTAACCCATGAATTTAGAGAGGAGATTTGAGATTCTTCGCTTTCTTTTAAAAATTTTTAAAATTTTATGTGTATGAGTGTATTGCCTGCATGTCTGTCTATAAATACAGTTGTGTCATGTAATGCCCATGGTGGTCAGAAGAGAGCGTCGGATCCCCCGGAACTAATGGTTGTTAGCCACCATGTGGGTGCTGGGAACCAAACCCAGGACCTCTGCAAGAGCATCCAGTGTTCTTAACTTCTGAACCTCTCTTCAGCCTCTAGATCTTTCTACATAACCATTTACCCACAAACACTTCCCGCTGCACTTTCAAAGCAAGTCCATAATTAGACGTATTTACGGCTCTGCTTAAAACTCTTCGTGGTCTTTTTTCAAAAATTTTTAAATAGAGTATCTTTAATTTATCCTTTGACAATTTCATACATGTCAACAATGTATCTTGATTCCCAATTTCCCCGAACTTTCCATTTCAAACGCTGAACGATGGCTTTTAGGGTTCTGTATGCTAACCACTTTGTTCTTCCTCTGGTAAGTCAAGCTTGTTAACATTTTGGGAATCTTGACTTAACTATTTTCTTTGCCTAGTGGTTTCTGCTCCAAAATCTAGATGACTGAACATCAGGTACCTATGGGAGCCGTTTTCCTGACTCTTCAACCACTTTATTGCCTTAAGCAAGTATTGTATTGTGTTTCCCAACATTTGCCACCTCCTGTGCAGCAGGTAGTGTTCTAAATACTGAGGCTTTCTCTTTTTTGTTATGTTTTGTTTCTGCTTTTTTTGAGACAGGGTCTCACTCTGTAGTCCTAGCTGTCCTTGAACTCTCAGCAGTCCTCCTGCCTCAGCTTCCCAAGTGCTGGGATTACAGGTAGGAGCCACTAAGAATATGCTTTTGAACAATTTATCTTTGAAACTGGAGCTGGTCAAATAGATATATGAAATTGTAGTTCAGGAAAGAACTGGAGGTACAAATTTGGAGTCATTTAGTATGCTGTAGATTATATACTAAACACAATTCCCCCTCATTTGTTTGTTTGCTTTTTTCACAGAAGTTTTGGATATCTACAGAAGTATGGGCATATTATATAATGAGTCCCCATGCCCTCATCACCTAGCCTCAGTAATTAGATTTGAGTGGAGGGAAAGAGAAGACAGTGAGGGGAGGAAGCAAAGTAGCAGACGGCATAAAAGCTAGCACAGAGCATTTTAACCATTGGTCCTGTAGACACAGGCTAGGGAAGAACGCTGAATGAGCAAGGTGGCATTCACTTACACAGTCACTTCTTTCACCTGTTTCCCAGTATACTGCCTTCATAGACAGACTATAAATAAATAAATAAATAAATAAGCTGCTTCATCATACTTCGAAAAGTGCCTGGTATACTCTAGGATGCTCTCAATAAGTACTTGGTGAATTTTCATTGGAAAATAATAAAAAAACTTTGTAATATTTAGAGTAGAGCAACTGTGGGCATGGAAGAAATGTGTTGAATGAGGTTTTTTTTTTCTACTTATTTTCCTTCCACTGGTAAGCCATGACAGTCTGGGTAAAGTTAGAGATTTGCTATTTTCAGTGAACTATATGGAATATATTTATGAGAAAAAGGTAGTATTTCTCTTCATCTTAGTGCCACTCATTTTTAAAATACAGGTAAAATCTGAGTTTAATACAATCGTATTATGTTGCCCTACCAATCTAACAAAGTTCATTTTGAGTACCATGAAGTCATCAACTAGCTGATGGAATGTATTTTATATGGTATGAGACATCTTGGTTTTGAATTTTAGGAGCTAAGGCCCTTCATAAATAAAAGTTAGTGGAGCAGGGCATTGTGGTACATGCCTGTAATCCCAGCATTTGAGAGGCTGAGACCGGAGAATTGCTAGTAGTTCAAGGCTAGCCTGGGCTACATAGCCTGTACCAGGCCTATTCAGGGATACATAACAAGACCCTGACCCTGCCTCCAAATAATAATATAATAAGTTAGATGATGTCAATGTTCAGTTTCCATACATTCAATTCAGCTTGGCTGTCAAGCAGTGTATATTCCTTTCATGCATAGGCTGCTTTGCACTTGCTCTCTCCTAAAGTAGGAAAAGTTAGGAATTGGTAAGATTTGTCATCTATGTCATCCACCTGCATTTTTCTCATTCTCAGTCTCTTTTCTCTGTATCCTCTTGGGGGCCTCTCTGCCTGGTACTACTTTTTCAGAATCTCGAATGTTCACCTCAGGCTTACCTCTTTCAGGATTGTTTTCAAGAGACAAACTTCACCTGCTTACTAGTGACATAAAATAATCATTTGTAATGCTAGGCAGACATTGGGACAGTGCACAAGAGGGACAGCTTGTCTGAGCTTGGAAGGCTTGGGCTGGAACTGTTGGCAGTCTGACAGGTGATGCTGGCAGTCTGTTGGAAGCTCAGTTTCTCCACATGGTTCTCTCTGTGTGGTCTCTGCTTGGGCTAGATTGGCTAACTCACCATGATGGTTGGTCTTCTCAGAGTGAGCATTCTAAAATAAGAGTTAGTTGAAGTGTATCCTTTATAGGATCAAGTATTGATATTAGATAATGTTTTATTTGGAGGAGTAGCTACAGGGCTGCATCAGCTTAGAAAGAGAAGAAATAGACCAGAAATGCTTCTTCTGCCATTTTGGAAACTACAGTGAACCATAGCTAGTTTTTGGAAAAATCAATTTTTTGTTGTTGCTTTGGGTTCTGATTTTTTGAGATAGTCTGATCATGCTCAGGCTGGTCTCAGACTTGCTATGTAACCAAAGCTGACATTGAACTCCTGACTGTCCTTCACCTTTCAAGTACGAGGATTGCAAGAGAGTGCCACCCTTCCGGCTGTTCTCACAAATTTGTATGTGAGAGAGAGAGAGAGAGAGGCATGTGTATGCACATATGTGCATATGCATATGGAAGCCAGAGGTCTTCCTCTATCAGAAATAGACCAGAGATAGAGGTCTTCCTCTATCACACTCCACATTTTTATTTGAGTCAGGGTCTCTCACTGAACCTGCAACTCAATGATTTAATTAGGCTGGCTAGGTGGGCATGCACCCAGGATCTTCCTGTTTCCAACTCTGGACACTTGGGATTGTAGGAACCTGTTATTTTGCCTGGCTTATGTGGGTCCTGGGGATGCAAACTGAGGTCCTCGTGCCTATACAGCACATACTACCCACTGAGCAATCTTTCTTTCCAGCCCCGAGAAGTTTTTGGTTTTTTTTTTTTTTTCCCCCTTCTTTTTTTTTTTGAGACAGAGTTTCCCTGTAGCCCCACCTAACCTGGAACTCACTGTGTAAACCAGGCTGGCAGGCATGGATCTCACAAAGAGCATCTACCTGCTTCTGCCTCCTGAGTCTTGGGATTAAAGGCATGCACTACCATGCCCAGCCTCACAAATCAATTTTGAATGTTAAATGCAGCATTAAATTCAATTGAAATGTTATCAGTGTTACCATTCATTGACCAGTAGGTGCAAGATGTTTTTCAGTTTTTTTTTTTCATGCAGTCCTGCAAGATAAAAATGTCATTCTCAATTTCTAATGATTTTTTAAAAATTTTTATGTGTCTTGAGTATTTGCCTATATGTTTGTATGTATGCATATGCATACCACATACATGCTTGATGTCCACAGAGGCTAGAAGAGGGTGTCAGGTCCCCCGAAACTGGAGTTACAGGCAGTTGTGGTGTGAGCTGCCATGTGAGTGCTAAGAACTAAACCCAAATCCTCTGCAAGAGCAGTGAGTGCTCATAACTTCTGAGCCACCCAGCCTTGGTCCCTGATTTTCAGATTGGGTAGTTGCAACTCAGAGAAAGTAAATAGTTTATCTAGGCCCACCTACTTCGAACAAGCTGCTGAAGCCCAATCATTCCTTAGTGCTTCATGTTGCCTCTTAGTGTCCATTACCTATAACATTTGCTTTATTTTGTTTAAAAAAGAATGTCTAGCCAGAGGCTAGACATTTCGACTCGCACCTTCAGTGCTAGCACTTGGAGACAGAGACAGGTGGATCTTTTGAGTTCCAAGCTAGCCTGGTCTACATAGCAAGTTCCAGGTCAGCCAGCTTTACAAAATGAGACTGTATCTCAAAAAAAAATAAAAAAATTAAAAAAATAAATGTCTACAGGGCTGGTGAGTGCTGACATCCTGAGTTCAATCCCCAGAACCTGTACAGTGGGAGAGAACCAACTCAACTCTGACCTTCATACGTATGCCATGGCATTCACCCATGCACACACACACAGACAACGTGTAAATAAATACAATGTAATTTTTTTTTTAAAGAAAGAGTATAGTATGTTGGTTATACTGAATCCATTTTGCTAAAATTTGGCCACAGCTGCAATTTTGAAAGTTCTATGGCCCATTAAAATGGGCTCTGAAATTTGGGAACAAAAAATAACAAAGTGGTCCTAGCACACACTTGGGTGATTTGGGTTGTACACAGTGCTTTTCTACTGACGACATTTCACCCTGAATGTTTGTATGGCTTGCTCTCTTAATTCATGTTTCTGCTCAAATGCTATTGCCTCAGCTCAGAAGGGCTTTTCCTACCCCCTTATACAGAAAGAGCCCTTCCAGCCTTCTGCCTCCTACCCTGCTTATTTTTTTTCATAATATTGAAAAAAAAATTAAGCCTGTCTTAAAGAAGAAAAATCCCCACTGGTCTATAAACTCTCGAAAGGGCAGAGGCTTTTTCATGTTTCATGTATTCTGTATTCCCAATAAGAGTGCTTGGACTAGAGTAGTTGTTAAATAAATATTGAATGAGCATTTGAATGCATGGATAGTTTGAACTACTGGGCCAGTGCTAATTTTCATGATTGATTAGCATCATATTTACTTCAAGAAGTAACCAACGACTTTGCCTTTTCTCCCTTGCTTTCTTTGGAGGTACTTAACTGAGAAGACTCTACCCCAGTGCTCTAAACCAGATGCCTTCTTCCACCACACCAGATGAAGGAGATGACCTAGAAAACTGTGTTTTAAATTTTTCTGATCTGGATTTAAAAGAATCACATCTTATCAGTCCCAGCCACAGCCTTAAAGCAGAGTTAGATGGCAGTGTGAAGAAGAAATATTCATTTGCAAAGAAAAAGGTAAAATTACTATCATTGTTTTTATGATCATATATAGAAAGTTAATCAAGTGCATATAGAAGTAGTTCATTGAATTTGCCCTCTACCTCACTGTGTAGTCTAGTCAGCACATTGCCCACTGATATTAACTCACTATAAGGCAAAGGAGAATCATGGACAAGGTGTACCCTTGGAACAATTCTGGTGAGGTATTTGAGGAGAGTAGATCCTAGACAGGAAATTTGTTTTTTTTTCTCACCCAGGAGAACCCTGCAGGAGGAATCCTAGAAACCCAGATCCTAGTGTAAGGAGAACTGAGGGTAGTAGGGCAGCTGCCATCTGGTAAGCTCGTACTGAACCTGCTGACTGGTGGGGGAAGAGTTCTGATCTTGTCCAATTGGCCGAGTGCTTTCATTGCACTAAATTTTCCCCTCTCCACTGAGAGACCCGTGACCACTCAGGGTCTTGTGGTTCTGACCAGACTGACAAAACCGACATAACACATTCTATTTGGGTTTTGCATAATTTATGACATCTGGGAGGGGGTGACTTAGCCTGCGGTTCCACAGCTCTGTTCCCCACCTTCAATATGGCCATGGCTTCACCCCTTTTCCCAGTGGGCTCAGCGTGGGTCTCTAGACCTGCCCCCTGATCAATTCTAGCCTTTCAGAGGAACTTTAAGTTACAGCTTTGAAGAAGAGACAGCATCCAGAATGCTGCAGGGTCACTGAGTATACTGCATTGGGCCATAAAAGGTATTATTAGCCAGATGTGGTACCTATACCTTTAATACCAGCACTGGGAAGCAGAGGCGGATAGATCTCTGTGATGTTGAGGCCAGCCTGGTCAACATAGTGAATTTCAGGCCAGCTGGGGCTACAGGGAGACTCTGTCTCAAAAACAGACAGACAAACAAAACAAAAGAGATAGTATATGATACCCTCCTTAATGCCAGTTACCTTTTTTTTTTTTTTTTTAAGAAACCACTGACTGAAGCTCCCTCTCCTTCACAGTAGAGAGTCCAAGGCTTACAGGCAGGAAAATCACTGCCTGAGGAGATACAGCTGACACCTGGTTTTCTCACCTTCAGCCTGTGTCCCCTTGGCAAGCCTCTTACTGACTCCATGTTAGTGAAGAACAAACGTACCTGCTTGTAACTTCCTGGCTACCAGCCCTCTAGTCCTTCTCACACAGATTCCCCTGAAAGTGAATCCAAAGGGCACAAAAGTTCTTTAACAGTTTTATTTTGCGACAACTTCAAACTTACAGAAAAGTGTAAGAATCTTATAAATAACCCAAAACCGCCCTTGTCCAGAGGCTGCATTCACATGTTTCACCTTTTGTCTCAGACACAGGGGACTACTACTGCAGGACCACCGGGGGTTACATAGTATATTCAGTCTGTTTAACCGTCACATCATGTTCTTAGTCCTCTCCCTTTTTTTTAAAAACTTGCTATTTAGCCACTACTGACGTTGAACTCACAGTCCTACCCTATTTAGCCTTCTGAGCCCTGGGATTGCAGGCATGTATGACCATGTCTGGCGTTGGTCTTCTTTAAATTAGAACTCTCAGTTTCTCTGTCAGATCATGACCATGACATTTTTAAAAATTACAAATAAGTAATTACAAATAATAATAATCAAACCGACCCTCACTTTGATTTTGACCCATATTTCCTTATGATGAGACTCAGAGTTTATTTACTTTCTTTAGCAAGAGTATTCTAGAAGAGGGGCTGTGTTCCTTTTGCTACGGTCTTTCAGGTAGTTCACAGTGCTGATTCATTCATCCTGTTACCGACAATGTTAATTTTGGATGTTTGTCAGGTTTCTTCACTGTAAAATTATTTTTTTCTTATGTAATTCAGTGTTTTGGAAGGAAGTGCTAGTGCCATCTCCTTTTCTTCTTGCATGTCATAAAGGATGAACATTTGTAACAAAAGCTAACAAAGGCCCTGTAATTTCATTTCACCCCACCCCACCTGCTGCCTCAGCCCTACACAGTGCAGATCCATTCTTGCACAAGTTGAGGATGGCCCATCAGTGGTGCTCTTCATCTGTAATATCTCTGCAGGGTGCCCACTTGTGGATGCTTTATAGAAGTCTTCAGGTCTCTCCCTGCACTAAATCGAGGGACTGTATTGTGAGAGACCAATAATTAGAGATCTTGCTTTACTTGTATTTACACAGAAAGAAAATCACTAAAAACAGAGCAGGCCGAGTATGGTAGTGCACACCTTTAGTCCCAGCACTTGGGAGGCAGAGGCAGGCAGATCTCTGTGAGTTCAAGGCCATCCTGGTCTACATAGTGAGTTCTAGGTCAGCCGGGGCTACAGAGAGACCCTGTCTCAAAAATACAAAAAATAAATAAATAAATACTAATAAAACTTGATGAGGTCATTAATCTGCTTTGTTGTTGAGAGTATACATTGGCACACCTCTGGAAGTCACTATTACAACCTTCATGCTTTTTGATATAGCAGCTCTTCCCATACCAACCTATAAGAAGTCTATATATATATTTTTAAGAAAAGTATATAGAGCCGACGTGGTGGCACGCGCCTTTAATCCCAGCACTCGGGAGGCAGAGGCAGGTTGATCTCTGTGAGTTCAAGGCCAGCCTGGTCTACATAGTGAGTTCCAGGCCCGCTGAGGCTACAGGGAGACCCTATCTCAATAAAAAAAAAAAAAAAAAAAAAAAAAAGATCAGAAAACATAAATCAATAAGAAAAATGTCATAATAGAACAATAGGCAATGGGGCCAGAAGATGACTCAGCAGGTAAAGGAGCTCGTTTACCACAAATCCTGATAACCTGAGTTTGATCCCCAGAACCCACATAAAAGAGGAAAGATGGGGGCGTGGAGAGATGGCTCAGCAGTTAAGTGCACTGACTGCTCTTGCAGAGGACCCAGGTTTGATTCCCAGAACCACATGGCGGCTACGAGCCGTCCTTAACTCCAGTTCTAGGGGAATCTGAAGCCCTCTTCTGACCTCCACAGCATTGCACAACATGGGCGCACTCACATACATGCAGGCAATACACTCATACACATAAAATAAAAAATAATAAA